TGTAGTCAAGAGTCTTGGAATCTCCTTTATTCTCTTTATGCATAACAGTAAATAAATTGATGACTCTAACATAGTCTTTATCTTAAACAACATGTATGGGAGATATACTAAAAACTACATTTGCCTATCTCTGCTTCATAAAATGGAGGCTAGTCTTGAATTTGTAGTCAGAACCTAATTATGGTGCTGGAAGCTTAGCTTTTAACATCCAGATGCAGACAGAAGCTGATCAGATTATGAAATTGCAGTGGTCAGGAAGGCAAATAAGCAAACAAATTCTACCTTCAGCTGCTTGGAGAAAGACCATCAGCCTCTGATACAATACACATGCCAGAGGTGAGACTGAACATAGGAAAAGGAAAACACCGATTTCTCTCTGGTTCTCTAAAGGCCTATTCTTTCTCATGAAGGGCTGACAGCAACCGACACAGGAGAGAGATCTGGATGCAGAAAGAAACGAAAAAATTCTGCTCCAGTCAATTTTAGGCTCTCATTAAATTCAGAGCTTCTCCTGCCAATGAGATTGACACAAGGACAAAGAAGGAATAAGAAATCGGTGCACCTGCCAATGAGATTTATGCTAGGACAAAGAAGGAATAAGAAATCTGTGCATCTTGAGATCAACTATTTTGCCTCTTAAAGTATTTATTGTTCAAAGCACACTATATTTTGAACTTTGTGGACCATGACTGCCAGGAAGGAATGCATTTTATATCATAACCCAGTACACACAACACATACGCATTTTCAAATGAAAGTTTTGCGGAAGTTATCCTTCGTACATACAACGAATATAGTGTCTGCTTTACGCCACCTTCTTTTTTTAATGCTGGCTACATTCAACAAATTGGTTTCACAACCCAGTAATGGGTTAGAACCCAGTCTGAGAAACCATGCTATAGTGCATACATGTGGTCTGTCCTCTGCCTTCTTCTCTAACTGTATTTCATGTTATTCTCTGCCTTACGTCCCCCACTGCTGCTGCCCCCACACTGCCCCACCTCTGAATTTCTATTATTTTTTACATTTAACCACAAGATCGATTCCTGAAATATGCCAACCGCTTTCTGCCTCAGGGCCTTTGACCTTGTTGCTAGTGTTGTCTGGTACACTTCACACAGATCACTGCAATTCATCATGCAGGTCTCAAGACAGAAGTCAATTCTTCAAAAGAGCCTTCACTGACTACCCAGTTTGACAGAGCCACCACATAACTCCAGCAGGTGCAAAGGGGAGGGGGCGGAGTTCACCACTCAGAGTGGTTGGGAAGTCTGAATGACAATGTAAGACAAACATGAAGAAAACCAGTATTCCACAAATGTACTTTCCATCTCTCATGCTACTGTTCAGGCCATTGATTTCTAGTTATGGAAATTCTATTCCATTTGTTTAATGATGGCCTTTCTGACTCTGAAAATTGAAGACACCATCCTTCAATACCTGCCAAGTACTCTGTAATCTCTCAGGGCATGTATCACACTCTTGTTTTTTTTTTTTTTTCTTTTTTTCATTTAGTAAATATCCAAGTACCTAATATGGTCTAAGCAATAGCAGTGAACAAAATAAAGATCAATCCATCTCCACTTCAGTTTAGTAAGAGTGACAAATTCACAAATAATTTCAACTGAATGTAGCAAGTACCATAAGAGAGAAGCGTATTAGGTAAAGTTGTGACAAAAAAGAATGAAAAGTCAACTACCTTTGAGTAGAGAAGGCATCACAGAAGAATGGACACCTAACCATGGTATGGAAGGATCAAAGGGAATTTGGCCAACACACAAGGGGATGGGGTATCCCATGTAAAAGGAACAGAACGTACAAAGTAAATGGAACATTCATGAGTTTGAAGTTGCTTAAAATGTTCAGCAAAAGTCAAGTAGCTAAAAGGAGTGTCTAGGGAATGGAGAGGCATGAAAGAAGCTGGACAGGTGAGTCTTAGATGATGGAGGGCCTTGTATGCCATTCCAGGTACTTTGAATTTTACACTGTAGGGTATGGAGAGTCCAGAGTTTTAAAGAGGTGAGTAACCTCAAAGATTTGGATCTTTAAAAATTCCTTCTGGGGCTCCTGGGTGGCTTAGTCGGTTAAGCATCTACCTTTGGCTCAGTTCATGAACCCAGAGTCCTGGGATCAAGCCCCAAGGCAGGCTCCCTGCTCAGTAGGGAAAGTCTGCTTCTTCCTCTCCCGCTGCTCCTCGCTGCACCCCCCCCCCAGCTCGTGCTTGCTTGCTCGCTTGCTCACTCACTCTCCCTCAAATAAGTAAAATATTTTTTAAAAAATTCCTTCTTGTAAAAAAAAAAAATTCCTTCTTGTGGCAGAGAAAAGAATAGATTGAAGAACTGCCATACCATACTGTTAAAGTCCAGGCAAGAAAGAAGGAGAGTTTAAACTAAAATAGGACCTAGTGACCACTGGAATATGGGAGGCAAGGAGAGAAAAAAATGGAGGACAACTCTCGTTTCTGGTTTAGGTTACATATATTGTAATACAGAGTAACTATAATATTAGGGATATATAATATTAAAGCTATACTATAGGTTACAATATAGTGATGTCATCAGTTAACTTGACGGAATTAGAAAAACCAAGTAGAATGATAGCGAGTTCTGTTTTGGTCATGGCCGACTTGAGAGGCCTTTCTGGTAATGTAGAGCTGTCCAGAAAGCAACTAGGTTAGCGCTAGCAGGTGTGAGATGAAAATTGAAATTTAGACACGAATCCTTCAGCATTACTAAAACTCACATGTGTGGATGAAATCACCCCAGGGAAATGCATAGAATAAGAACTGAAAATCTTAAGACTGAGTCCTAGCGAAAGGCATTTAAAAGGCAGACAAAGCCAGTGAGGAGAAAAAAAAAAGGGGGAGGGGGAGGAACGCTCATGAACTCAGCTGTCACCGAAAAGCTAAATAAAATAAACTTAAAAAATTTTTTTACTCATTTATTCATGAGAGACACAGAGAGAAAAGCAGAGACATGGGTGGAGGGAGAAGCAGACTTCCTGTGGGGGAGCTTGATACGCAAATCGTTCCCAGGACCTGATCTCAGGCTCATGACCTGAGCCAAAGGAAGACACTCAACCACTGAGTTCAGGTACCTCAGTAAAACTAACTTCGAGAAGAAATTACTGGATTGGCACCGCAAAAGCCATTAGAACCTTAAGACGAGCAACTTCATTGAAGATATTCAGAGGAAGTCAGACCACAAAATACTGCAGATGAGAAAGGGGCAGTTGAAGGAGGTGAAAATACTGTGCTTTCAAGCAGTTTACTGATAGATGGAAGGATTGGACAATCATTGGATAAACACAGCATGGGGGATGTGCTTTTGTTTCATTTCATTTTCTCCAGATGTATGACCAAAACACTGGGAAGCAGGAAAAGGAGCAAATGCCTGAAAGCATAGGAAAGGAAAAAGATAAGTGGAAGCAAACGGTCTTGTAATGGATAGGAGGAAATGAGATCTAGAGGAGAGGTGAATGCATTTACCTTCAACACCATTTTATCTAAACTAGAAATACAAAACTGAACGATGGGTAAAAATATATGCCAATGTGTAGGTTAGGGGCCTGAGGTTGAAGAAAATGACTGCTAAGCTCTGACACCTGCTTAGAAGGGAGGAAAAAGGAAGGGACAGGGATTGGAAAGTGAACGTGTAAGAGCAGGAAAAGCACAGGGGCAGATAGAGGCAAGGAAAGGATTGTTTTGGAGCAATGGAGAAAGAAGGGATGGCGGGAGGGGCTCTGTTGCTAAATCCACAGCCATACCCATCTGACAATAGTCATTTTTCTATTCTCCAGTCCGTTACTCATAAGTGTTTAAAAGGTTTGCTAATTAAGTGAATTAAGTAGAACCCCGGTGTTCTCAAACAAGTGAGTGAATTAAAATCACCTACAGGCTTTTTAAAAAATGCAAATTGCAGATGCAATGAAACGCCGGGACACCTGCACCCCGATGTTTATAGCAGCAATGAAGACTCCTAACTCTGGGAAACGGAACTAGGGGTGGTGGAAGGGGAGGAGAGCGGGGGGTGGGGGTGAATGGGTGACGGGCACTGAGGGGGGCACTTGACGGGATGAGCACTGGGTGTTATTCTGTATGTTGGCAAATTGAACACCAATAAAAAATAAATTTATTATTTTAAAAAAATGCAAATGCCAAGAATTTGGCATTGGTGGTGGGGGAAGCTCAAGGAAGTGAATATTCCAGAAGCTCGCCCAAGAGATCCTCAGGGGGCATTTCGGTTAAAAGGCACCTGCCTAGAAGGTCCTCAACTGGCTAAAAGAGAACTGACGCAAATACAGCCCTTCCTGCAAGGCTCTTAGCCCGGGGGTGGAGCAGTGCTCTGCCGCTCAGGAGAGCACACACTACAAGACCTCCGGGTCAGTGTTGAGACAGTCGCATGCACAACCCAATACTCTTAAATGAAGCCTCATTTAAGGGAAGCTAAGAACTTGAAAAATGCGATGATGAAAAACACGAACATTTAAAATGTTTGTCCTAAATGACGTCTCACATCAGGGTATCAGACCAAGTGTTTACCCCTACACTTTTCTGTTACGTTACTCTAGAGGCTCAGCAGCACCAAAGTGGAAGTCAGGGTGCTACGAGAAATGGGGAGAGGAAGGAAACTGCAGAAACAGCACCCGGAAAGGGAAAAACATAACGGGGTTCAGAAGGTGGAAGAAACCAGGATGCCTCTGAGTGTCCCTCCGCCCCAGGACCTGGGACGCTACGTAAACAAGATGCCAAAGCCGTTCTTCTGGCCTCGCCTGGCACTCACCATAGTCTCAGGATCTCAGCGCGGGGAAATAGGCAGCTTTGCCACGAGGAGACACCACCTCTACCTCGACGCCCGGTTACTCCGGCAACAGAGCCCCGCCTACTACCGCCTACTACCGGACGTGCGGGAACGTCACCGCCCCGCCCCTTCGTTCCTAGTGGCTGACAGGCCTCGAAGCTCCGCCCACCCGCAGGCAGACCCGCCCTCGATGGCGTCGTTTGGGGCGACCGAACCCTGCTTGCCTCTTTCCAGCATCATCGCTTGGTTTGGTTGATAGGTGACCCGGAAGTTAAGTGCAGAGACGGCTAGAGCTCCAAATAGTCTATATTTTATTTTTAAGTAGGAATCCATCCATCCTTCACTTACCGAAGCCTTACACCGTACGTGCTGGGTTAGTCGAGTTTTAGGACGCCGCAGCGTATTTACCTTTTTCTTTTGGGAAATGATTCCGGAAACGAACCCCTTGAGGACAGGATGTGATTAATAGTGAGCGAGCAGCTGGATGTCCGGAAGGCCTGGGCGGGTCAGCTTCGGAATGGAAAGGAGTGTGCGAAGTTAAGAGACGCGGAGCCCCACAGTCCGTAAAGAGAAGCCCGCTGGAATCAGAGGAGTGGGGAACGGGAACCTGGGCGGTGAGGCCAGGGACTGGTTTGTGTGACCGAGGGGCGTGTTGGAAAGGGACGGCGGTGTGGGTGGGAGGCAGGTGCTCAGACGCTGTGGATTCAAGGTAAGGTTGCCTTGGTTCTGGGAAAGCTTGTGCAGACAGGGACGGAACTTCGGAGTGGGCTCACCGGGACTGCTGCAGAGGTTGACAGGCTTGGCTTGTCGTTTCCACGACGGTCACCCACTCCGCGCGCTCCCTCCCCCTCGGGAGGGGACCTGCCGGGAGCCCCTCGCGGTGTGGGTGCTGGGTGCTGCGCGGCGGCCCAGCGCGGTGGCAGACCTAGTTGCCCCTGCGAACGGGTCTCCGGAGACCCGTTTTCAGGGCAGTAGGGGAAGATTTGGGACTCTTAAGGGAGGTAGTTACGGAAGACTCTGTGCCGAGTTAAATCGAATACTGTTTGTCGTGAACCAGATGTCATCTAATGTACAGTTAGTTCGTCATATTCCTGTCCCTGCTCTAGCGCCATGTTCCTGCTGGTGTTCTCCAGCGAACCTTACTTAGGCTTTACTGTAAGGCCATACGGACGTTTCTGAAAACATAGGTTATGCCATTTTAATTTTTATTCCCAAGAAAATGCAAGTTATGAGTATTTTTGTCGTCTGTTTAAATTTATAAACGGAAGCTCCTCTCTGATGTATATAGTGAGCAAATAAGTATCAAACGTTAGTATCACTAATGTCCCCTGAGAAAGCAATTACTATAATCCCTTTAAAATTACTGTTGTCGGGCGCCTGGGTGGCTCAGGCGGTTAAGCGTCTGCCTTTAGCTCAGGTCATGATCCCAAGGGTCCTGGCATCTAGTCCCGAATCAGGCGCCCGGCTCAACCGGGGCGGGGGGCTGAGGGGGGTCTCCTTTTCCCCCTCTCCTGCTTTCTCTCTCTCTCTCTCTCTCTCTCCTCTTAAAATCTTTTTTAAAATACCCCGTTGTCTTATCAGTGATGCAAAAGCCCCTATGGTAACTTCACTGCAGTTTCTTAACTAAAATTCAGGACAGATACCTGGTAGAGTATCCTTGGTGAAAACAGTGAAACAAATTTGAAAGTAAACCACCAGTATATTTTTTTGTTACATGACAATATCAATATCATAACAGTATCACTTGTGAAATTGCATTTTGAAATGCATGTCTACTAAATGCAGAAACAAGTAGAATATTCTAACATCTAAGTTACAGGGACTTAGTGACTGTCTTTATATGATACGGTTTTAATTCTTTCACTTTATACATTTTTAGGTTTTTCGGTAGAAGTTTTGAGGTGCATTTTCATTGGTTAAAAAAATGACTACTCTTGAAAGTTTAGATACAAAAGGTAAGTGTTCTTCTTTTGATGAGAATTGTTTTTAAAACATACAATTTATGACCATAGGATGAAGGCATGTTTGAGCCAGGTTACTAAATCTCATAGAGCTCTTGTGAGCCATTTGTATTTCAGATTTCTTCATGCTTGTTTTGTAATGCAGTGTTTACATTTCAGTACTCAGAAATCCACCTGAATATTAACATACTTGGATAGTATTCATTACAAATGTTAAACTACTGTTAAACATTTAGTGTAAAAGCAAAGTTTTGCAGTTATGCTTTCTATACACTAGAAGATTAAGATTTCAATAAACAAGAAGATATAGATTTTTAAAGATTTAAGTAGGTGGTCGAGCAACTAGGAAGTATAAAAGACCTCTCTTTTGCTAGGTTATTTTGCTTGGGCTGCTATAACAAACCACCACAAACTGAGTAGCTTAAACAACTGAAATGTATTGCCTCAACAGTTCTAGAGGCTAGAAGTCCAAATCAAGGTGCTGGCAGGACCACGTTCCCTCTGAAAGCACTAGGGAAGGATCTGTTCCAGGCTTCTTTCCTAGTTTCTGTTGGTTTGCTGGCAGTTTTTGGTATTCCTTAGCTTAGAGATGCATCACCCTGGTCTCTGCCTTTATGTATACATGGCATTCTCCCTGTGTTTGTGTCTCTGTGTCCAAATTCTTCTTTTCTTAAAAGGACATCATTCATATTGGCTTAGATACTCCTGTATCTTCTCATCTTAACTAACTGTATCTGTAATGACACTATTTCCAAATAAAGTCACATTCTGAGGTATGGAAGGTTACGTATGAATATTTGCAGACAGGGACACAATTCAACCCATCACACTTGCTAAATACAGTAGTTAACTTGTTAGCCCTGCTTTGCTTGTCCTCTCTATAACATTTCTTATTGTTGCTCATTCCCACTTTTTGAAATATTTTCTTTCCTTCATTTCCATGATACCACTCTTGTTTTCAGCCCTTCACTCTCCAATGCAGTAGCCACATGTGGCTATTTGACTTTAAATGAATATTTTTAAAATTTAAAAATTCAGTTCCTCAGGCACCCTAGTCACTTTCAAGTGCTCATTAGCCACATGTAGCTAGTAGCTATTGCATTTGAAAATGCAGATACAGAACATTTCCATCACTGCAGGAAGTTCTACTGGACACCAGTGCTCTAGCAACATTTTCTCTGTTTCTTTCTTCATCCTCTTCTTCCTCTGGTTTATCTTTTCAATATTAATATGTTTCAGCTCTCTTTCTCTTCTGCTCTCAGGGCATCAGTAATTATCTGTAAGAATAACTTCCAAATTGGGGGGATCCCTGGGTGGCGCAGCGGTTTAGCGCCTGCCTTTGGCCCAGGGCGCGATCCTGGAGACCCGGATCGAATCCCACGTCGGGCTCCCGGTGCATGGAGCCTGCTTCTCCCTCTGCCTGTGTCTCTGCCTCTCTCTCTCTCTCTCTCTCTCTGTGACTATCATAAATAAATAAAAATTTTAAAAAAATTAAAAAAAAAAAGAGTAACTTCCAAATTGGTCTATAGCCCAGATTTCTTCCCTTGTGATTCAGGCCCTTCTCACCTACTGACCATGTTCACAGAGGTGTTAGTAACAGTGTTATCATGTCCCAAGGGGAGGGCCTCCTGACTCAGGTTATTCTTGGGTGGGGTGTGTTCCAGAGATTGGGGCTGTCAGTGAGAGATGGGAAACTACTTTCCAGAAGCCAATTTGTAGCAAATAGACCTTCAACAATGAACTCCTTAAAAGGGACTGAAATCAGAGCACCTGGGTGGCTCAGTTGGTTAAACGTCTACCTTCAGCTCAGGTCATGATCCCAGGGCCCTAGGATCGAGCCCTGAATGGGGCTCCTGGCTCCTTGGGGAGTCTGCTTCTCTCTCTCCCTCTCTTTCCCCAGTGCTTGTGCCTGCTTGCTTTCTCTCTCTCTCTCTCTCTCTCAAATAAATAAATAAAATTTTTAAAAGGAGGTGAGGGGATTTAAATCTGTTTAGGAAGCAAGAAAGAGAAGATTGTGCTGTGTTAATAGCATTTCAGAGTTACCATAAAGCTTTTATAGTATTAAAGTAAGCAAAACAAAGAATGTAATGAAAATAATAAACTGGGGATTAATAAGAAATAGAGCAATTAAATGGTAACTAAGGTGAAAGTCATTAGCATGGTCCTTGGCAAAAAGCAAAACCTAAATATATTATCATTAGTGATTAAAAGTTAGTTATTGCGAAGCCTCTGGGAATGCAAATTATTTTTTTTTCCCTGTTTGTAATGAGGATTAGAGTTATAAAGCACTTTCACATACATTATTTCATTTGATCTTAATTTTACAGTAAGATACATAATACAGCTGCTAGTCCTCTTCCTACTTAATATAATGTTAACTGTGGTTAGCGAACAAAAAAGTTCCTTCTATTGCATGACCTAAAAAAAAGGTGTACTTACCATGGTTGACGTTTGCTAGTCTCCTGTACTTCCTATAACTGCCTTACAAGCAAAGCAGCATTCATTGTTAGCAACAGAACTTCCTCTCAGTGGACATCAGAGCAAAACTGTCATCATGAGAAGGAGGCACAGTTGCTGCTAGGGCTTCGTGTGGATGGGAAACAGGCAATAGAGAGAAACAATTCAAAAATTAGAATTTGAATCCAAAACTTTCTTGAGAGCAAGATTAAAATTAAAGGTATTCAAGTTAGACTGTTTAGTGAAAGTAAATCAAATAGGAAAGTCTGAGACTTTTAAATATTTAGAATTCCATAAAGCAGCCTAACTTTAACACTCATTCTATGGAATAACATGTATTAGATGAAAAAGGAATCCACAGGGAGATAAATTTGGGAAATTCTGGATAAAAGGAGGGATTATACTATAGGACCTCTCAGAGCCATTAGCATACTGATACACTGTGAAGCTGCAGAGATCTAGTACACAGCCTCACCCCCACGTATGTTACCAGGGAACTCTTTATTCATGGAGCCTGTGACAAAAAGAATGTTTAGATTCCATGTCAGTGAATATGGGCCTAACTTTTAAGTCCACTGTCTATAACATTTTCCTAGTTTAATAGTAACTAAACCTTATTAAATGATATTGATGACATTTAAAAGAATATTGATTTTAAATTACTGACTGACAATCCCTAAATTGTTAACTGTTTGATAGCTGAATCTGCATATATTCTGAAAAGTTGGTCAGATCATAACTGAGTTAGGAATTAATGCTTTGGTGTGAAGGGGGAAAAATAAGCAGTTTTTAAATGAGTTAGTTTTGGGGTGTTAAAATGAAATCTTCTCAGTTGCATATTAATATTGACAAGCTTTAGTAAGCACTTACCTTTTCTGTACCAAGCACCATTTCCTTAGACTGACAATGCAAAGATTAGGAGCCACACCCTGTCTTGTGGAGCTCCCAATAATCAGGTCTGTGAGAAAAACAAATTATTTTAAACTACTCTCAATATTTGCATTATTCTGAAAGCACTGAGGGATGAAAGGAGAATAAGGTTAAATGATCTGCCCAAAGTCACACAATGTGTGGCAATAGAGACTTAAGGCACTTTGACCTAGAGTCTAGTGTTCTCTCTATTGCACCATCCTACAGACATAGAGAAGTTTTATGAAAAAAGGAGAAATATTTCTTTAAAGACAGACTATAAAATCCTATTCTTTTTTGCCTCAGTATTCTACAGCAAGCATTGGCAAGTTATGGCCCTCAGCCTCCTGAGAATATTTACAAATCAGTTTGATGATGGGGAACACTAACTTTGAATCCCACTTAAATCAAGAGTTATCCCAAATAAAAAAGAATTCTGTGCTTCTCATTATTAGACCTATGTTACAAAAACAAACAAAGAAACCAAACTTTACTCAATTTCTTATAGTTTGAGTTTCATCTTTGAAAATGAGGGATTTTTTTTTATTCTTTATATAAGTACCTATATAATATCCTTAGCTTTGCTAAATTAGCAAAATGGTCCACAGAGCCACAGATATTTCTTATCTGGCCCTTTATGGAAAAAAACTTGCCAACTCCTTTTAGAGAATATTATTTGTACTTTCCCTCCACTTCAATTATCTTTGGGGAAGGCAATAAGTATGAGCCATAAACTTGAGATACATTTTCATTCTTTGATAACTGATCACAAGTAGAAGTAATATTGGCAAATAATTGAAGAATCGTTTTGTTTCCCTTCAAAGAGGGGGAAGAGCAGATAATGTTTTGCTTTACTTTAACATCATTCATAACTATGGAGCTGGTAACATGAATCATTCATTGCCTTCCCACCTGAGAGATGATAACTGCTCAGGAACGTGTCCTAGACTGTGCTTAGTACCTATGTAATAAAGACTTCTATGTGTGTCATAAGGAAAAATAGAATTATGAAAAGCAAGTTGCCAGGTGAGAAAATGGAAAGCCCTGACCCACTCGCCTCCTTGCCTGTGCACATTAGCTAGAAGCATAGTTATCACAAGAGTTGTTACAGCTGCCATGTCATGTTGTACAACTCCTGCACTCATAAATGTTTGAGTAAGTAGAACAGTTTAAATAAAGTTAAGAGTACATTGAGGCTGAACCAAGGTGATAGAATTTCTTCACTGGAATTTTTTTATGTGTTCCTTTTGAAAGGAGATTTATTTTATTTATGATAGTCATCACAGAGAGAGAGAGAGAGGCAGAGACACAAGCAGAGGGAGAAGCAGGCTCCATGCAGGGAGCCCGACGTGGGATTCGATCCTGGGTCTCCAGGATCGCGCCCTGGGCCAAAAGCAGGCGCTAAACCGCTGCGCCACCCAGGGATCCCTGAAAGGAGATTTATTTTAAATACTCATTAATGTTACTTTGTCTTTTAAGTTTAGCAGTAACTATTATTTGATTTGTTCTTTAATCTCCATTACCTAAAATTGCAACTCAAAAATGTTAGGACTTGCCTAAAAATCCTATCATGGCATGGTTTAATCATGGCAGAGTGTTACACCTGCTTATTTCTTCAGCTTCAGTGGACCTGAATGGTATAATTCTAGTTTGTCTTTTTGTTGTTTTTTTAAATTAATCTGTAGTTAATTCATGATTCAGCATAACTTCTTAAATGACAGAATATCTTAGTGACAAATTTATTTTAGATAGAGGTAGACAAAACTTTTTAAAAGCAGATTTTAAGAACATGGGAGCAGGCCTTTATTTTTGAAACAGTTCAGTGGAAGTTCTCCTCCTAAGTGCTAACGTCCTACAGCATATCTGAAATACCAAACTATTTCACTTTCTGAAGTAATTCCTTTGTTCTTCTTTTTGAAAGTGGAGTTCACCCAAAGGCCCAAGTTAACATTCAATATGGAAATGACAAAATATTTTATTCTAATGGAAAATGTTTTGTAAAATAGAACACATTATACATTAGCTATCTTTGCACCTCCTCTCATACATAATTCAAGATTCCCAGTACACTGCTACATATTTAGGGAAAATTTCCCCCAAAAAATCTAAAGTGTAAAAACAGTTCTAAAGTCTAGTGGTATACTTTTGTAAGACTTGAGCATAAGAAAATAAAAGTTAGAATTATATTTGATGGCATAACGAAGCTTGCTTTTTCTCCTTAATCAAGATCCAAAGTTTATTAGGGTTTTTAAAAGAATAATAACAAAAGCAGTAGAAACTAACATTTAGTGAGAGCTTACTGTGCCAAACACCATTCTAAACACTTTACATGTATTCTAATTTACTTTTTTAAGTATTGTGTTAAATCATTGATGCTGAGCATACAAAAAATAAAACTATGTGAGAGGGACCCCTGGGTGGCTCAGCAGTTTAGCGCCTGACTTTGGCCCAAGGTGTGATCCTGGAGTCCTGGGATTGAGTCCCTCATCGGGTTCCCTGCATGGAGCCTGCTTCTTCCTCTGCCTATGTCTCTGTCTCTCATGAATAAATAAAATCTTTAAAAAAAAAAAAACACAAAACAAATAAGAACATAAGACAGATCTACTGACACATTAAAGAATGATTTCGTGAGGCAGTTTGACAATACAGATCTTCACCTGGCATATTAATTCCATTCTTGGGAATGTGTTCAAAAGAAGTTGACAAAAATCTGTAGGCATAAAAGCATTATTCACTAAAACATTATTATAGTAAAAAGTTGGGAAAAGTCTAAATATCCAACAGTAGAATAAGTAAATAATATTATATTAACTTGAAAAAATAATGTAGTCATGAAATGAAAAATATGAAGACTGCAGCAAAATAGAAAATAGACTGAGCTTCTCAAGTTATGATTACAAACAAAAATAATGAAGTAATGTAAAGGAATGAAAAGTTATTTTAGAGTGATTTAGGTAATTTTTTCTTCATATTTTTTAATAATGTAATGTTAAAAACTAGAGGATACATGTGTGACTGTGTGAAGATAATCTGTTCTGCTCTGCAGTTTCTGTATCTATATAACAAAGTTTGTGAGAAAGAAAAAAGTAAGCTCATTAAAAAATAGAAAGCTAATAAATAAACCTCAGAAAGGTTTTCTTGTTAGGTATTTCCCTTGCTAGAAAACATCTTTATAGGTAATTTTTTCATAGTTGTTTTGTTTCTTTAAAACATCATCCTGGGCAAGCTTACCATTTCCTGTGGTTCTTTGCTGGCAGATTCCATTTCTAGGATGAGAATCAGGAATCAAGGTGACAGCAGTCTTTGCTTGATAGACTGTTACATAGATCCCTTTTTTTAATATGGCTTTGTATGTTGGAAGTTGTTAAGAAAGCTTTAGTTTTATTTAATAAGACATTATTGCTCATACCAAATTGTTCTCCTGACTTTATGGGTTACAGTGAAACATGATTAATTAGTAATTAAATATTAATATTTAATTGATCAGGACATGGTACTGATATCTAATAGAAATTGAGGTGAAGGACATACTTTGGCTTTTTTTTTTTTTGCTTTTTTCTTTATAAGTAGGAATTCTGTTTCTTGTCTTTGCCTTAGAAGGTATAAATATAAAAATATAATAGTAATGAATTCACTAAAGATTGGTCCATGATTGTTCTTATTAACATTTCTCTAAAAATAAAATTTTGGTAGAAATTTTACACCACATATTGCACTCTTATTATATATTACCTTGTAATACATGGCTTGCATGTTTTCTTTTTATATGTATGTCCTGTCCCCTAAATTAGGTAGTGCAGACTTCTATGTTCAGGAAATTACTATCTCATACAATGTCTGGTCAATATTAGGTACCAAGCAGCATGGTTGCTGCCCATGACCGCTCAGAGATAGTCATTATAATCATTGTTATATGTGCTCGTACTTTGTCCCTCCCCTTGTTATCATTCATTTATTGTCTATTAGCTAAGCAGTACTGGGTGTAAGGCACATTGCTACAAATATGGTAGTAAACAAGAGACTCATAGTCCCTACCCTCATAGGACCTACATCTTAGAGGAGGGCACAGATATTTGTATAACTAATTACATTGAGGGGGAAAATGTCAATTTACCATTTTGATAGATAGGGAAAAGGAGAAATGCAGTCTTGCAGCAGGTGCACACAAACAGGGCACCCAGCCTAATCTGGGAAGGTGAGAGAAAGGCTTTTCTTAGGAAAGAATTGAATTGAGATTACAAGGAGGAAAAGGAATTAATGGCAGGAAAGAGGGAGTTGGGAAGAACATTATAAGCAGAGAAATGTTGGCAGAAGGAGTTTTTAAGACATTAAAAAAAAAAAAAAAAAAACAAGACAGGAACATAGTGTCTGAAGGAGTCACCAGCTGCTGAAGTTGAGAGTCAGGAGATAGATGATGGGAGGGCCTTGCAGACCAGAGTAGGGATCTTGGTTTTTCTCCTGAGTGATAGGAAGACACTCGGGTTTGATGTAGATGAGAGCCGCTTTTTATTTTAAAGTTCACTATAACCATTATGTAAATTCTTTGGGCTTTTGTAGCTGACAAATATGCTTTTAGCAAGGGCAATACCTTCAGATTGATGAGGCAATAATTCTGGTTTGTGGAAAGCCTCTCAGACTAATTAACAGCTTAGCTCTGGAGTCACATAGGGACTTAAATCCCAGTTTGACACTGATGATTTGGACAAGCTATTTAACCTTTCAAAGCCTCTGCTGTTCTTAAAAAAATAGGTACAATTATGCTTACCTCATGTAAAGCTTAAATGATATAATGCATCAGAAGGACTTAAAAGAATCCTTGGCATATAGTAAATTGAATAAAAATTCGTAATTACTATGCTTACGCTTTGGCTTCCACTTTCTTAAGCGTAGGCTGGACTTGTAAAATGGAACAAAATCTAACGTGTAGCTCAAAGGGATGTTACTGGAAGTACTAATTCGAGAACTCTTATGTAGGTTAAGTATCATCTCAACTACCTCCATCTGTCTCTTCTACTTAGTTACCAGGGCAAATCTTGAACCACTTTGTGCCTCATTTTCTTCATCTATAAAATAGAACTAATCATACATACTTGAAAAGCACATTGTAAGGATTAAATGAGTTATATGTAAAGTATTTAGAATAGTGTTTGGCACATGGTAAGTCTTTTACAAGCGTTGGTTATTCATTACTTAACATTTTCTCATTTAAGACACAAGGTATGGATATAGATATCATTAAATTTGTTTCATGAAGGTTAAAACTAAGGCTCAGATAACTGTAGGATTTTGTCCGTGATTGCACAGTAATGATGGAAATGAGATTCAAAACCAAATCTGATTTATCCCAAAGTTCATGTCATTTCTATAATACCATGCTCCTTCCACTTGTTTAGGGCAGGATGCCCGCTCTTATGTGTTTATCAGAATTATTGGAAAGATACGATTAAGTTTCAAACTATTTGAAATAGTAAGTGCCTTAGGCATTCAGAGAGTATCCTGGAACAGTTGAGAGGATCTAACGCAAAGAGTAGTGTTAAAACTAACTTCTTAGTGGTAAGTTTGAATCACAAATCACAGTGAATGGCAAAAAAAACACCATTTAAGAGATAAGAAGTAGCAGAAATAAAAGCCTGATTAGGGCCTAGAGGAGAGTGTTATTTGGTTGGGTAGCTTGTGCGAAGCATTCTTTGCCAAGAGTTCACAAAACAGGTCAATAGATTTTGAGGTAGATGGCTTCAAAAATGCACTTACATTTAACTTACATATATTTTTATATTTAACTAATGTTATGGAGTATCTCCAGCGTGCCAAGTGCTTGATCTTATTGCATCTTTCCTTACGGCAATCCCAGAGTGTTCTTACTATCTCCATTTCACGGAATATGAAATAGAGATTCAGGAGGGTTCAATTGTTTACCCTGGAGCATACTAGAAAGTAGAAGTTGGAACCAAATACTCTGATTCCAAATCTCTTACATTTTCTACCAAGAGCAAAACCATTTACCTAAGGAAAGTTCAAACCTCTAAGTCTTTTTTCATCTTTTACTGACACCTGATTGTTTTGAAAATTAATTTTTATTCTGAATTGTTTGTATTCTTTTTAGTGCCAATAATGTTGAATGTAGGATAAAGCATGTCTTGGCATTTTCCTTGGTATTCCTTTTTAGCAAGTAGCTTATGTTTTGTTTTTCCTTTGATAGTCACCCTTACTCCAACCCCAGTCCGAGGAGCAGGAGATGGAATGGAAACTGAGGAGTCACCTAAATCTGTTGAAGTTACCTCTGGGGTCCAACCCATAAATCATCACATCCTTCAGAATCCACGGAAGAAAGCAGTTCCAGGAGAAAGCCCAGGAGTTCTTCAGCTAGGAAAAATTCTCACTGAAAAAGCAGTGGAAGTCGAAGCTGTAAGAATATTAGTTCCTAAAGCTGCTATAACCCACAACATCCCCAACAAGAATGCAAAGGTTAAGTCTCTGGGACATCATAGAGGAGAATTCCTTGGCCAGTCAGAAGGAATCGTAGAACCCAGAAAGGAACTATCAGAGGTAAAGAATATATTGGAAAAGCTCAAGAACTCTGAAAGGAGGTTACTACAGGACAAAGAAGGTCTTTCAAACCAGCTCAGAGTACAGACAGAGGTAAGAATAAATAGCTTTAATGAGCACTCTCTTTACACCTGGCCCTTTAAGCCTATGTGTTAGAAAACTATATTTCCTCTTGGAATGTCATTTATTTTGACTTGTCATTGCTCTAAAGATTTTCTCTTAAATTTCTCTTTCTCAGCTCCTCTTATAGAACTAGTAATATATTGGGAACTTATACTCTAAATGTGGTTAAAGATGGAAGTATACTGGTGCTTTGATCAAGACCACTTATATGGTAGAAAGGAAGTCATGGTTATAAAATTCCAGACCAAAGATTGGCCAAATTAGACTTTGAAATTCACTAGTTAACAATTCCTGTTTTAAGGATCCATAAGTTCCAAGTATTTTTGTTTTATGCGTATATAATATTTGGGATAAAGAGAATGGTGAGGTAAGGGTTAGTATCTTAATTGTAAATGGAAAATGGTCTATATTGTTTTGTTGTGTTTCTTTAATCTTTACATGTTAGTAAACATTTCCTTATCCTCATCCTTTTTTTGTTTCTCTATTAGACTCTTCATCTTTTTGCCAGATGTTAGCCTTTATAAGTGATACTATATTTAGTGGTTCTTATCTAAATATATCTTTAATTTTTTTAAATAACTAATTTCTAATTACAAAAATAGTACATATCTACTTGTAAATATTTTAGAAAATACAAAAAATGAAAATAGTACCAACTATACCATCTAGCTAAAATGCGTAATTATACATATTGAGTTTATTTTTGCCTTTTTTAGTTATTAACATTTTCCTATGTCACAGAATATTCTTTTTCAATATCATGTTTTAATACCAGCAGTGGTCTTTCATTGCTGTACCATATATCAGTACCTACTACTATTGAACATTTGTTTTAATTTTTCACATTTTAGATAAAGAACATGCTTATAGATATCCCGAGTTGCTTCCTTTGCTTAAATTCTTAAAAACGTATGGTGTAGGGAATGCATGAGTAGCTCAGTCAGTTAAGCATAGTACTCTTGATTTTGGCTCAGGTCAAGATCGTAGGGCCGTGGTATCGAGCCCCACATTGGGCTCCACCCAGGGCATGAAACCTGCTTAAGATTCTCTTTCTCCCTCAAAAAAAAAAAAAAAAAAAAACACACAAAAACTATGACACAAAGAAATTAATTTCTAAATGCTGATAAAGATTTAAAAATCACTAAAAAAATTCTCTGTTATGTATTTTGGCAAAATTTATTGGTTTAGTTTCTAATTTTTGCCTTCAATTGTTGACTGGAAGCAGTTCATAACTTTGGTGGTAATGGTACTCTTATTAGAAGAGACTCAGTTTATAATCACATAGAGTATAAATATAAATATTTAGAGATAGAAACAGATGGTTTATATAGATTATGAAACTTTAATATTGCTATTTGATATGCACTTTAAGGAATGGAGGTCCATATACATGGAACGTGGTTTCTCTTTTTTCATTTTGATACATTAAAGTCACTGACATTACTTTCAGCTGGTTGTAATGGTCATATTTTCTTCTAGGTCAATCGTGAGTTAAAAAAGTTGCTAGTGGCTTCTGTTGGGGATGACCTTCAGTATCATTTTGAACGTCTATCTCGTGAGAAAAATCAGCTTATTTTAGAAAATGAAGCCTTAGGTCAAAACACAGCTCAACTTTCTGAACAGCTAGAACGTATGTCAATACAGTGTGATGTGTGGCGGAGTAAATTCCTCGCAAGCAGGTACTTTCTGTTTTAAATAGTGTTTCATTTCCTAGCTTTTGCTCTGTCGGATTTTTTACCGATAGCCCAAGAAAATAGACGGTAGTGTGAGAATTTCTGACTTAGATTGTCAAAGTACTTCATATATTTATAAGTATGTATGGACTGTCCTTCCTCTAGATAGTCATACAGTAGGCTCCCTAAATAGAAAAGTGATATCATAAGATTCTCCCACATTCCAGAATTCTAGATTATTCCTCTATAGTTGAAATTACTCCTCCTACAATGTTTAAGAAACAAAACTAAACTCAGACCTCTTATAAATAAAATAAATAATATCACAAAAAAACAAAGTATTTTTCCCCATCTTCTATCTGGAAAACTCAAACATTATTTCTCTTCTGTGCTCTGTTCTCATAGCTCTTTTAACTGTATTAAGTATACAAGAGAGCTTCCCAACTTTTTTCTGTCCACACACAAACAGAAAACAAAATTATTTGTATGGCATACTAGATGAGGCTACTCTCGATCAGAGTTGAAACCCCCAGGGCCCTCACCTAGGTCCATGGATACACTGATAGTTGGGAAACTCTGTTATATATTGTGAATTTTGGTCTCTTTATCCCCCTCCTTCCAGCACTGACTGGGGGATAGGGTCTGGATGGTATCCATCTGTATATTTCCACTGTTTAGCCATATGGTTTACACATGGTTTAGTAACTGTTAATTTGAAATTCCATTATCTGGAGATTTCTTACATAACATTAGACGTTTCCAGGCTGTATTTCAAGAATCATTGATTGTGATGAATAAATTTGTAGGAAAATATTTCTTCATGCCTTAATGTCTATGATACTTTCCAGTAATTGACTACTCTCTTAAAGTCCTTAATTTGTTTTCTAATTGTGTTTGTATAGGATGGTATGTGGAGAAATGAATGTACTGTTTATTGGGTTAGAATGAAAGTTCATGCTCACTGAACATATTAAGAGGCAAATCATGCATGTGTCATACAGATTATTGCAATATTAACTTTTTAACATCCTTATCAATGCTGATGGTAACATTCTAAGGGCAATAAAGCTTAAACTCAACTTTATTGATATTTTAACTGATTTAATCTTTGGTCAGTAACACTGTGGTCCTAGACTTTAGTTTTAAAATTTTCAGCTAAATAAGCATACTTTAAAATTTTACTTCAACTCTGTTAATAGAGAACTGGTTAAATAAATTTTGGTATATCCAATCAGAAGAAAACATGAAGCTGTTGTTTTTTAAAAAGAGAGCTCTATATTTGCCTATATGAAAGAAAAGATAAATTATTAGATGAAAAAAACCAGGGCATAGAAAATTTTGTATTAAGTAATCCCTGTTTTGTAAATAAAATGGATATATTTATTTTTAACATATACTTTTATGTTGACATATGTATTTTTTTTTCCTAGAGAAATATATAAGAAACTGTATTGGTTACGTTATTGTTTTTAAGAGAAGGATAGGAACGCTGGACAGGAGATAAGACTTAATTTCCCTTTTATATCAGCCTTTCTGTATTATTTAATATTTTTTTAAGGACAAGAAGGCAACTGAGTGATAGGAAAGCAGTGCTTTTTGTTTTCCTCTAAAATTTCCTGTATTTAAAAACATTTAGTTAATGTTATTTTCTTCAAAATTTGGTCAATCTAGAGTAAGGTGGAGGTACATTCCAAAAATCACTCTGTAGAAAAGTTAAATAACTTTTCCTTTGTCGTTCTGTAAACAAATATTTTGAAATCCGTTTAATGAGTTCTAAGATCATAAACATTTTAAATGCTTTTTAGTGAAAATTTAAAAACTGAGAACTTGACTAGGTTCAGTTCTTCTTTGTAAGCTTTTGAAAATAAAAGTAGTATATTAGCTTCTTTACAGTGTGTTATTGTCAGAGAATGTATATAAGTGACATTTTAATCTTTTCCAGGGTTATGGCAGATGAGTTAACCAATTCCAGAGCAGGTTTACAGCGTCAAAACCGTGATGCACAGAGTGCTATTCAAGATCTCCTGAGTGAACGGGAACAGTTTCGTCAGGAAATGATAGCTACCCAGAAGTATGGCACTCATTACATTCTGAACTCTTCTTCTTTCTCTTGCAATTTTTGTTATTGTGATAGTTGTTTACTGTCTCTACATTTAATAACTTATGAAACATACTTCAAGTAAGCATTTTAAAATAGATGCCCAGGGAGGGAAGAAGACTAAAGAAATAAGATCACACACTTCTTACATTCTTAATTAGAAGAAAATTAATTATAGCCATAATAGAAGAAATCTCTGGATTTAAAAGTAGTTTTTGGTTATAGTTATAGCAGTTTTGTATAATTTTCTTCTTTTTCTTTTTTTAATTTAAATTCAAGTATCCAACATACAGAACATCATTAAGTTTTGCATAATTTTTGGTAGAAGCCAAAAAGTATACTTGTCTTTGTTTGGAAGGAGATCTTTCTGAGGACTGTTCTATAGTGTTAGAGTTTACTTTTATGTCCACAGGCTCCAGAACTATCAAAATAATGTTCTTTCCTAAAAATAGTTTGTACTGCTATACACAGATCTTCCTTGACTTATAATGGGGTTGCATCCCAATAAACTCATCATAAGTTGAAGATATAAGTCAAAAATTAATTTAATGCACCTAATCTGCTGAACATCATGGCCTAGCCTAACCTACCTTAAACATGCTCAGAACACTTACATTAGCCTATGCTTGGGCAAAATCATCTAACACAAAGCCTGTTTTAAAAGAGAGTGTTGAATATCTTAGTAATTGAACACCGCACTGAAACTGAAAAACAGAATGGTTATACAGGTACAAAATTGTGAGTGTATCAGTTGTTTACTCTCCTGATCATTTAGCTCACTAGGAGCTGTGGCTCACTCCCACTGCCCAGCAACATGAAAAGATATGGTACTGCAAATTGCTAGACCAGAAATAGGTGAAAATTCAAAATTCAACGTATAGTTTTTATTTATTAAATGTTAACCACTTTCACACCATCGTTAGTCAAAATATCATTCATCGAACCGTCTTAAGTCAAGGACTATAATTTATTACAAATCAAATCAGTAAGAGTCAAAGAAGAAATCACAGGGGAAATTATAAGAATGAAAAAATAATGTAGATGACCCTTGAACAACACAGAGGTTGGGGAGGCTTACCCCCCATGCAATCCATGTATAACTTGTGACTCCCCCTAAAATGTAACTACCTATAGCCTACTTCTGACCAGAAGCCTTACTAATAATACAAATAGTTAATTAACATATATTTTATATGTTCTATGTATTATATACTACATTCTTACAATAAAGTAGGCCTGAGAAAATACTTACTAAATCATAAGGAAAAAATAAAATCCTCAGGAAGAGAAAATACATCTACAGTAACAGTACTTTTTTCCAGCCCTGATTCTTTATTCTGATTACCCCTATTCCTTGATCACATAATCTTTATATATATTTATCAAAAAAAAAAATCAGCCTTTCATTGGACCCACCAGTTCAAACCCATGTTGTTCAAGGGAAAACTGTATATTAAAATACCAGATTTCATGGGAGGCAACTAAAGAAGTGCTTAAAGGGAAATTTAATACTTTAAATACTCATAATGGAAAAGAAGAAAGGTCCTGTCCGTAATATAGGTTTCCTCTTTAAGAAATGCAAAGAGCAAATTAAGCAGAAGAAAGAAAACAAGAATGAAAGCAGAAATAAATGAAATAGCCAGATGCTGGTTCTTTGAAGAGATAAATTTAAGAAACCTCTAGGCAGTATAATGAGGGGGGAAAAAAGAAAGAAACACATTACCATTATTAGGAATGAAGAAGGGAATATATTACTTAGATTCTGTAGACATAAAATGGTAAGGGGACATTATGTACAATTCTGTGCCAGAATATTCAACAACTTATATGAAATGGACAAAGTTCTTAAAAGACACAAAACTACCAAAGAGTGCTCAAGACAAATACCCTAAACAACCCTAACCTATTAAAGCATTTGAAATTTTAGTTAAAAACCTTCCAATAAAGGAAACTCCAGGCAGATTCACTGAAGAATAGTAGCAAGCAACTAAGGAAGAAATAAAGCCAAATTTACACAAACTTTTCTAGAAAACAGAAGAAGGGAACAATTTCCAACTGACTTTTGGGGCAAGCATTATCTTGATACAAAACTAGACAGAGATATTACAAGAAAGCTACAGACTGATATTTCCAATGAATATAGATGCAAAAGTCCTAATCCAACAATATATAAAAAGATTTATACATCATGGCCAAGTACACTTTATCCTAGGACTTGTAAGTTAGTTTATCATTCAAAAATCCATTCATGTGGCTCATAAAAAAAGAAATACTCAATAGATACACAAATCAGATCAATAGTCCTATACCACTAGATGAGTATACTAGTATATTTTACCTGTACTAAAAACTGAGAACTAAAAAAAGTACTGTGTTGAATGACTTCCAGATAACTACCTGATAAATATATAAATGCTTTCTGTAGTCTTATTTTACCAGAATTCCCAATTTATTGAACTCTGAGAAAAAGATTTGGGAGAAATATATTATGCGATTTCAGAAGAATGTTTCTCATTTATTTAGTATTCTTGATTTTCATATTTTATCCGCTTATTAATATTCAGTGTTCCTGTGTCTTTATGCAGATTGTTGGAGGAGCTGCTAGTGTCCTTGCAATGGGGAAGAGAGCAAACTTACTACCCTAGTACACAACCTCACACCACAGCAGAACTGGCATTAACAAATCACAAGTTGGCAAAAGCAGTAAATGCTCATTTGCTGGGAAATGTTGGCACTAACAGTCAAAAAAAGATTCCATCAGTGGTTGAATTCTGCAGCACCCCAGCAGAAAAAATGGCTGAAACGGTAAAATATTTCTCTTTTGTGGACTGTGGAGTTTCTAAGACTGTCCTCTTACTGAAAGGTGGTATGTTTAATGCAAGGTGCTTGGCATTAGGAGTTAGGAATTATGGGATCTAAACCTGATTCTCATGCTAATGTGCTTGTGATCTTGGAGAAAATTATTTCCTTCTCTGTGCTTTAATTCCTGAAACATTATTACTCTGTCCTTAAGAAGAAAAATGTAGTTGCTTTGAAACAGCATGTCTTTTAGCTGTCATTGATAATCATTGATAATCTTGTACCTGAGTTCATTGTGATATGAAAACTAGTGTAGAATTTTTAATTCAGTAATCATGAGTAGATAGATAATAGATTGCTTCTGACATCACAAATTATTTGTTAATGCTCATATATAGATGTGAATGTGCCAAATCCTGCAGAATCAAATAGTGTACACCTACTACTGACAGTCCTGGATTAATTCAGGGTTCATGCTAATGAGCTGTCAGATGCTGTGGTCTTGTGGTCCTACTGGCACAGCCAAAATCACCTCTGTTATGTTTCATTGTCCGACTCCTGTGTCCCTGTCTTAGGCCTCATCATTAACCAGAACTGTTCCACTTGTAAAATCAGTTCAACACCTCTCTCCGTGACCTATGATCTCAACCTTTTTTCCAGCCCTGATTCTTTATTCTGATTACCCCTGTTCCTTTATCACATAATCTTTATTCCCTTGATCCCTACATTTTTTTTCTTCATCACATCAGCTCACTCTCCAGGCTTCTTTTCCCACCATAACTTGCCTGGATGTCATTTGTAAGTGTCTGTTTCCCTCATCATCCTTCTCTCAGGTATCCAGAAAACGTCAGTCCTTCAGCTACTTGCCTTGTTTCTGTACCTGTCAAACTATTACCTCACATTCAGCAGATGGCTTCAGTTCCTAGTTCACAAAAAAAAAGAAGGAAGAGGCAGAAAATTTCCTTAAGGTCTCACTTGATATCTAGATGCCTACCTGTAGAGCAACCAGCCTTGTGTACATTTCTCTCACTGGAAGAGGTGTCCCTTCTCCCTCCTCCCCAAAGCACGGCTCCCCTCCAGGCTTGGTAGGCCTCCCCAAGTTATCCCTTCTCTCTATCAGCTCTTTCTTCTTTGGCTTATAACACACCCACATGTCTTCCATCTAAAAAAGAAAAAACTTCCCTCTAGCCTAAGTTCTTTGATAAGGCCTTATCACCTTTATAGGCAAGAACAAGTATCTTGTACAAACTGTGCATACTTGTATGTACCTGTGTACCATCCATTCCTCAGTTCCTGCCATCACTTATCCCAGTAGTCTTCCAGTGCCGCTGTTCTGAAAATGTGCTTGTAGAAAGGTCATGAATGCTTACTTTACTACCATATATTTTGTATATCAGCACTCCTTCCTTGATATTCCCTTGATTTCTGTGACCGTACTCTTTCTTGGCCCTCTTATATTCCCTCCCAGAACTCCTCTTCATCACCTTTTTTCTATTTTTAAGTGTTGGTATTCCATAGGAATCTGTTCCCCATGCTTTTCAAACTCCCTTAGTTTCTGCAACACTGTCCACTGCCAGATCCTCACTACTTCTGTGACCACTCCTTTGCAGTATTTGGCAGGGGGTGAGCCATCCTCCTACGGGGCCCACTCTTGAGCCTTTCCTCTCATAACAGACTTCTGTATTCTCTAGGGAGGATCCTAGTCCCATAGTTTTATGCTTGAGACTTCTGAGACATTTTTCCTGGGTTCAAGAGAGATATCCAGTGTAACATCTCTATATGTGCATCTCACAGACAGCTGAAAATAGGACAATCTCTTTTCTCCTTGCTTTGACATCTGTATTTCTGCTCCCCTTAAAAAGAAGACAACCTGCTTCTTGTCCTGTACTGCCTATCTTAGTGAACTATATCACTATATAGATGTTTTGAGGATTTCATAAAATAATGCATATGAAGCTCATCGCAGATAGATTCCAGTATATGGTAATTTCTCAATAAATGGTAGATATCATTTTTATTATTATTTTCTTCATCTCCATAATCCTGTTGGTTTTACAGATCCTGTCAGTTCCTTCTAATTTATCTCCTCTTCCAAGTTCACACATCTGTCCTCCAGCCTTAATTATTGCAGTAGCCTCCTCACCAATACCCCTTGCTTTTAGTCTGCCTCCAGACTATCCTATACTGCCAGTTATTTTTAAAATACCAGACCAAAAAAAAAAAAAAGGAAAAAGCCAATCCACTTGTGTTGGTACTTCTATTCAAACAGATCCCAGTCTGCTTCATTATGGAATCTCAATCCTTCCATATTGTATAAAAGACTTTTCAAAATCTTTATTCCATCTCCTCTTCTCAAGGCTATTAGCCAGGTGTCCCCAATCCCCTACTCTTCAAGTCCCAGCCGCATTAACCACTTTTCATTGCACAGACATGCCATTGTATCACAAGCCTCTGTACATACTTCCTTCTGCCCAGACCATCCTCCCAGCAACTCTGTACCTTTAAGAATCAGCCCTCCCTGAATCTCACTGGCAAACTTAGGTGGTCCTTTCCTCAGGCTTCCACTGTATTTTGTGTATTTATCCCTTGTGGCTCTTTACCATGTTAAATTGCAGTTGTTTGATTCTCCCTGTCTCTCCCAAACTCTAAACTCCTTAAGGGTGAAGGCTGTATCTTATGTCTCCTCAAGATCTGGCATAGTAATCCTGTACATATACTAGATGCTCAGCTATTCACATAATGAATCAGTACCCAAACTAAACTCATCATTTTTATCCTTTCTGTTCTCCTTGTTGGGAAACTGTCACTGCCTATGCGATTGCTGCCAGTGGCATGTGTTATAATTGACTACCCCACCTTTCTGGAAACACTTGCATTGACTTACATAACTGCACACCCTCCTTGTTTTACTCTTCTCTCTGACCATTCTATTTTACTGTGCAATGGTGGGTATCCCCAGGGCTTTGTCTAGATCACCATTTGTCTTTATTCACCATATTCTGTTAGTTAACATAACTGACAGTCCTGCTTTCTTAGGGTCTCGTGAGGCTTTCAGCCCCATTGCTTCAAGGTCATCATTTCTTAGCTGGATTACTGCAGTAAACTCCCTTTCTTTGTTCTTCCCTTGTCTCTTTTAATGCCCACCCTTTCCCCTATCTTCCAACTGTGTATAGCATGATTTCTCTGAAAGTACCCTGCTTAAAATCCTTCCACATCACCTACAGAAATCTATCTGTACTGGGATCTCAGTATCCTTCTACTGAAGTCATTTGGTATTTTGTTTCTCTCTCTCCAGAATAGAATATAATAACATAGAGAGTATTTCCATACTTTTCTTATTTTCCCTTCCAAATTTATAAGCAACTTTAAGCCCTTCATCTTTGCTTGTCCTCTAGCACCCAACCAAATTTTACAAAAATAGAAGGATCTCAAAAACTAAATGGAAAAAGCAGCAATCCAGTTGAAAAACAGAGGTCCTAAAATAGAATGCTGGCTCTTAAATAGTGCCAGGCCGTTCTTAAATTAGCTATAGCTCTTTGGGTATGGTGGTAACTTGGAAGAAACATGGCTGGACAATATGAGAGTGAAAGAAACAGGCATATCCAACCAAACTGAAAGCTCCTTACATAAGGCATAGGCTTACCTTAAAAAAAAGAGAGAGAGAAAGGGAAACCTGGGTGGCTCACCAGTTGAGCCTCTGCCTTTGGCTCAGAGTATGATCCCAGGGTCCGGGGATCAAGTCCCACATCGGGCTCCCTGCATGGAGCCTGCTTCTCCCTCTGTCTGTGTCTCTTCTTTATCTCTCATGAATAAATAAATAAAATCTTTAAAAAAAGAGAGAGAGAGAGAGAAAGCTCTTTCCCCCACTGCTTTTTCCAACTGTAGTACCTACCTCGTTTGCACCATAACCCATCCTCCTCACCTCATGATCGTCAAGAGAATATAAACATGAGAAACAGGAGCTTTAAACAAGCATGTTATATTTGTCCTTAATTAGAAATTCTTTTCAATCCAACAGTTCCCCCTGTTGTGGGTCTCAGTAAAGGAAATGGCAGGACAAGTCAGAGCAGAAAAATTAGGATAACATGGTAGCCATGAAACCCAAGAAACAAGAACACAATTGTTAGCATAAAATATGGCATATACATTAGAAATAGAGAAATGAAAAGCCATTGATTTTACAAGAAAATTATTAAAATCTTTGAAATAGGATTTCATTAGAAGAATGCAGAATCTTGATTCCAGGCAGTTGAATGAAAGATCATAGAAGGAAAGTGGTGGGTACTTTTTGGTTAAGTATAAAAATCAACATCACTTATGGTAGAATTGATATAACCATATTTTTTCTTCTGTGTTTTCATGCTTTTCCACCAATATCTATAAAAACATTAATTTCATTTTTGAAAAATAGGTAACCTAGGTAATGTAATAACTAGAATCATTGTTAAATTTAGAGCTTTTTGGAAAAAGGATAAGTTCTCTAACCAATCAAATTCATCATTCAGATGTTATTTTTATGATTGTTACATATTAATGAAATGGGGCTTTAAAGGTAGTTAGTTATACATCACAAGGCATATATCTGACTTTACTTCTTATTTTCCTTAGGTTCTACGCATTTTGGATCCAGTTACCTGTACAGAAAGGTCACCTGATAATCCATTTTCTGAGTCTTCACCAACTGCCTTACTTACGACAAAGAAAAATATTGGACGATTTCATCCCTATACTAGATATGAAAATATAACTTTCAATTGCTGCAATCACTGCCAGGGAGAACTTATTGTCCTTTAACATTCAGTATGTTGGAGGCAGGCTACAAGCACTTGCTTCTTACCCAAGAGTCATTATTATTTAGGAGCTGGAGTTCTTACAATGATAGAATGTCCCTTTCTATTTAAGTAATATATATCCCCAAAGATGTTTCATGTCCTGGACCATAGATTACCCTTTCTTAATAAATATCTCAGGGTAAGAAAAGAATGAAACTGTGTAGATATATTTAAAGTAGATGATACTTTCCAGGCTTACATGATGCTTTTCCTAAAGGACTCTGAAAGAAAAAGATCCTACCTTTATTTTAGGCCGTAAGTTATATCTTGCTATGTATTTAATAAAAGCAAATTAAATATTGGTACTCTAATGCAGGGTGGGTCATATGCAACTACACCCATTCATTTACTGTTGCCTATAGTTGTTGGGTGCTTTTTTTTTTTTTTTTTTGACAACTACAGAATTGAATAGATGCAACAGGTCTTGTATGGCCTGTAAAACTTAAAATATCATATCTGGCCCTTTATAGGAAAATTTTTCTGGTGCCCACTCTAAAGGAATAATAGCTGGTAGGGGGATAAGTAGAGGGAGTGTCCATTTTTTTTTTGGACTACAAAGGCGGTTTATGGAAATACCATGGGTGAAAGGACTTATATTTTAAAACTAAATGCTATATGTTAAGGAAATTCAAAGCATTTTATAGCTACATTAGCAAGTCTTTCAGCAAAACTTATTCTCATGTTGGTTTTGTGTGGGGAATTCCATAGTTTGAATGGATGCAACATGACATATATAAGAGAAATAGATTTTACTGAGCTTATTTTGACAAATGCAATACAATAGGAATATCTGATTTGATATAAAATATAATGGAAATAGTAGGATCTTTCTAGAACATTGTACAAATTCAAGATGCAACCCATTAATAATTTATATTAATATATATTATTGTATATTTATGACAGACCATCATGAAACACCCCTTTATAGACCTTTAAAAATATCCATAATATGTTTATACCAAATTACACTATATTATGTGCAGAATTGCTTATCAAAAGAGAAATCTTCTGAAGACAAATCTGGTGAAATAACATTTTAATGTCAACTTAGTTATTCTTTTTGTCTGATTCATCTGAGTTATACTTTGAAATGGCAATAAATTTCTCTACATTCTTTATTTTGAATATTGATTTAATGTGCTTTTCAAGTCCATCTAATTTACTATTTATAATTGATTCCTCAGCCTCTCCTTTAGGTTTACTTAGAAGAAAACAGAGGAAAAGCTTCATGACATTGGATTTGGCAATGATTTCTTGGATATGGCACCAGAAGCACAGACAACAAAATTAAAAATAGATAAACTGAACTTCATCAAAATTAAAAACATTTGTACATCAAAAGATACTACAGAATGAAAAGGCAACCTACGGAATGGGAGTAAATATTTGCAAATCATGGCTTATAAGGGTCCAGGGTCCAGAATAAATTTCTACAACTCAGCAACCAAGAATCAAACAACCTAATTTAAAAAATGGGGAAAGAACAGGAAGACACATTTCTCTAAAAAAAGATACACAAAATGCCAATAAACATATCAAAAGATTCTCCACGTCACTAATTATTAAGGAAATACAAATTAATATTTGCCCATTCAATGGCTATTATCAAAGATAGAATATAGTGTTGACAAAGATGTAGAGAAATTGGAATGCTGTACATTACTGGTGGGAATTAAAAATGGTGTGACCACTGTTGAAGACAGTATGGTAGTTCCTCAAAATATTAAACATGCAATTACCATATGATGCAGCAATTCCACTTCTAGGCAGATACCCAAAAAATTGAAAGCAAGGACCCAAATAGATATTTGTATACCAGTGTTCACAGCAGCAGCATTCACAATAGCCAAAAGGTGGAAGTAACACAGGTGTCCTTTGATGGATGAATGGATAAATTAAATGTGTATACATGCAGTGGAATACTAGCCTTAAAGAGGAATGAAAATCTGATAAATGCTACAGCATAAATGAACCTTTAAACATTACACTAAGTTAAATAAGTCAGAAACAAAAGGACAAATAGTGTAGATATGTGAAATAATTCATAGTGACAAAACGAATAACAGTTATAGTGGGCCATGGGAAGGCAAGATGAAGAGTTTTTAGAAGATACAGATTTCCCGTTGGGATGATGAAAAATTCTGAAGATGGAAAGTGGTGGTGATTATACAGTATGAATACTTAATGTCAGTTAATTATGCATTTAAAAGTGGCCAAAATGTTTTGTTATGTATATTTTATCAGAAAAACAAATTATGTGTACATTCATCACCACAAACTAATGGCACACTTCTGCAATGGTTGATTTACGATTGTCAATAATAAATAGCTAAACAAAAGAAAAAAAGAAGATCTCAAATCAACAACCTAACATTACACTGTAAGGAACTAGAAAAAGAGGAAACTAAGGCCAAAGCTAGCAAAAGGGAGGAAATCAGAGTAGAGGTAATAAAATAGAGAACAGAAAAACGATATCAAGGAAATCAAAAATTGGTTCTTTGAAAAAATACACAAAATTGACAAATCTACAGCCAGACTAAGAAAAAAAGAAGATGCAAATAACTAAAATCAGAAATGAAAGTGGAGAAATTATTATCAACATCAAATAAAAGAAAAAGGAATAATTGGGGGCACCTGAGTGGCTCAGTGGTTGAACATCTGCCTTTGCCTCAGGTGGAGTCCCACATCAGGCAGGAGCCTGCTTCTCCCTCTGCCTATGTCTCTGCTTCTACTTGTGTTGTGAATAAATTATCTTAAAAGAAAAAAGGAATGATTGTACTTCAACAAATTAAATAAACTAGATGAAATGGACAAATCTTCAGAAATACACAACTTAGCAAAACTAAAGGATTATACACAATGGCCAAGTGGTATTTATCTCAGGAATGCAAGGGTAGTTCAACATAAGAAAACCAAGGCAATACACACACTAGAACAAAAGAGAAAAACCACGTGATCATTTCACTTGATCCAGAAGAAGCATTTGTTAAAATCAAACACCCTTTTATGATAAAAAACACTCAGAAAAATAGGGATCAAAGAATAGGAATAAGTAGAATAGAGGAATAAGAATAGCATTTCCTCAACTTCATTAAGGGCAATTCTGTGAAACCTACAACTAACATCATAAGTGAAAGACTAAAAGCTATTGTCCTAAGAACAAGGTAAGAAGGCCCACTATCACCACTACTACTCTACATTATACTGGAAATCTTAGCCAAAGTAATCAAGAAAGAAATAAAAGGAATCCAAGTTGGAAAGGAAGAAGTAAAAATATCTCAATTCACAGATCAAATTCTATATAGAGAAAATTCCAAGGAATCTACCCAAAAAAAAAAAAAAAAAAACCCAAAACCAAAAAAACAACAAAAAACCTAGTGCTGATAAATTCAGCAAAGATGAATACACAAGATTAATTTGTGTTTGATTTTGAATATACAACCCTTAAGCAATTAAGAAAACAATCCTACTTGTAGTAGAATCCAAAAGAATAAAATATCTGTGAATAAATTTAACTGTAGTGAAAGACTTGTACAGTGAAAACTGCAAAATTCTGTGGCACTAAATGAAAAGAAATCCCGTGTTATGGATTGGAAGACAATTTTATTAAAATGGCAGTACTGCCCAAAACAACCTATAGATTCACTGCAATCTCTATCAAAATTACAATAGCCTTTTTGTGATAATGTTGTGGAATATTTAAATGTCAAATTGGTTTTCATCATTAAAGATAACTAAAAAATGCAAGACTAGTTATAATGAAATGTTAAATTATCTGGTGTATGCTGAAAGTGCTATAAGAAATTGAGACAGGTTTGAATTCTCTGTTTTCTCATTTAGTGTCAAGTGGTTAAGGTGCAAATCATCAGTTGATAAGAATCTTGTCTTTTGAAGCTTTAGCAGAAGCTTCTACAGTTTCCATCATACTTGTAATGTTTACCTTTGTCTTCCACCCCTTAAATGCTCTTGAATATCAAGAGTACTGTTCCTCCATACATCAGGTTCCTATATAGTCTCAAATATTTCACAATATCTACCAAGGTATGTAAATTTTATAATATCCCTAAAAGAAAGGATTTTGCAATTATACAGATAAGAGTCTGTGAAAAACTTATGTACTTTAGTTTCCTCATCTGTAAAAGATTAATAGGGTTGTTATAAGGATTATACCAAATTATTTATGTAAAGCATTCACAATACCATGCACATTATAAACTCTCAAAAAGAACTAGCTAATTTTGTAACATACCAAAATTGGATGCATAATTGTTTTATTCTTTTTTTTAAATTCAATTTGCCAACATATAGTACATCATTAGTTTCAGACGCAGTTTTTAATACTTCATGAGTTGCATATAACATCAGTGCTCATCACATCTTGTGCCCTCCATAATGCCTCTCCTCCAGTTACCCATCCCCACCTCTCCTTCAGCAACTCTCCATTTGTTTCCCAGAGTCAAGATTCTCTCATGGTTTGTCTTTCTCTCTGATATGATTTTTTTTCCCCAGTTTCTGCTCCTTTTTTTTTTTTATGGTCCCTTGCACTATTTCTTATATTCTGCATGAGTGAAACCATCTAATTGTCTTTCTCTGACTGATTTATTTCAATTAGCATATTATCCCCCAGTTCCATCCACATCCTTGTAAATGGTAGGTATTCATCCTTTCTGATGGCTGAGTAATATTCCTTGTATATATATACCATGTCATCTTTATCCATTCATCTGTCAAAGGACATCTTGGCTCCTTCCACAGCTTGTCTACTGTGGACATTGCTGCTATGAACATTGGAGTGTGCGTGCCCTTTCAGATCACTACATTTGTATTTGGTGGGTAAATACCCAGTAGTGCAATTACTGGGTTGTAGAGTAGCTCTATTTTTAACTTTTTGAGGAAACTCCATACCTTTTTCCAGAGTGGCAGTACCAGCTTGCATTCCCACCAACAGCAGGAATTTGTTATTTCCTGTTTTGTTAACTGTAGCCATTCTAACTGATATAAAGTGGTAACTCATTGTGGTTTTGATTTGTATTCCCTGATGACAAGTGATGTCGAACATTTTTTCATGTGTCTGTTGGCCATTTTTAGTCTTCTTTAGAGAAGTGTCTGCTCATGTCTAATACCCATTTCTTGACTATATTGTATGTTTTTTGGGTGTTGAGTTTGAGAAGTTCTTTATAGATCTTGAATACTAGCCCTTTATCTGCTAAGACATTTGCAAATATCTTCTCTCATTCTATCGGTTGCCTTTTAGTTTTGTTGACTGTTTCCTTTGCTGTGCAAAGGACTTCTTGATGAAGTCCTAACAGTTCGTTATTGCTTTTGTTTCCCTTGTCTTTATAGAAATGTTTAGCAAGAAGTTGCTGTGACAAAAGCCAAAAAGGTTGCCACTGTGTTCTCTAGGATTTTGATGGATTCCTATCTCACATTTAGGTCTTTCATTCATTTTGAATTTATCTTTCTGTATGTTGTAAGAGAGTGGTCTAGTTTCATTCCTCTACATGTTGCTGTCCAATTTTCCCAACACCCCTTTCTTGAAGAGACTCTTTTATTTCCATTGATATTCTTTCCTGCTTTGTTAAACATGAGTTGACCATAGAGCTGACTGTCCATTTCTGGGTTCTCTATTCTGTTCCACTGATCTATGTGTCTGTTTTTGTGCCAATACCATGCTGTCTTGATGATCACAGCTTTGTAATATAACTTGAAGTCAGTCATTGTAATGCTCCCAGCCTTTTTTTTTTTTTTTCAACATTACTCTGGAGATTCAGGGTCTTTTCTGGTTCCATACAGATCTTAGGATTATTTGTTCCAACTCTATGAAAAATGTTGACTGTATTTTGATAGGGATCACATTAAGTGTATACATTACTTGGGGTAGCATAGACATTTTCACAATATTTATTCCTCCAGTCCATGAGTATGGACTGTTTTTCAATTTCTTTACATCTTATTCAATTTCCTTTATTATTGTTCTGTACAGACCCTTTAACTCTTTGTTTAGGTATTTACCTATTCCTAGGTATCTTATGGGTTTTGGTGCAGTTGTAAATGTGATTGATTCCTTAATTTCTCTTTCTTCAGTCTCATTGTTAGTGAGAAAGGCCACTAATTTCTGTGCATTGATTTTGTATCCTATCACAGTGCTGAATTATTGTATGAGTTCTAGCAATTTTGGGGAGGAGTCTTTTGGGTTCTCCATATACAGTATCATGTCATCTGCAAAGAGTGAGTTTGACTTCTTCTTTGCCAATATGAATGTCTTTTATTTCTTTTTGCTGTCTGATTGCTGAGGCTAGGATTTCTAGTACTATGTTGAACAGCAGTGGTGATAGAAGCCATCCTTGCCATGTTTCCAATTTTAGGGGAAAAACTCTCAGTTTTTCCCCATTGAGAATGATATTTGCTGTGGGCCTTCCATATATGGCTTTTATGATACTGACGTATGTTCCCTCTATTCCTACAGTTTGAAGAGTTTTTTTTAATCAAGAAAGGATACTGTATCTTGTCAAATGCTTTCTCTGCATTGAGAGGATCATATGGTTCTTGTCTTTTATTAATGTGATTTATCATATTGATTGATTTGCGGATGTTGAACCACCCTTGCATCCCAAGGATAAATCCCACTTGGTCATGGTGAATAATCCTTTTAATGTACTCTTGGATCCTATTGGCTAGTATCTTGGTATTTTGACATCCATGTTCATCAGGGATATTGGTCTGTAATTCTTTTTTTGATGGGGTCTCTGTCTGGTTTGGGGATCAAGGTAATGCTGGCCTCATAGAATGAGTTTGGAAGTTTTCTTTCCATTTCTATCTTTTGAAACAGCTTCAGGAGAATAGGTATTACTTCTTCTTTAAATGTTTGGTAGAATTCTCCTGGGAAGCCATCTGGCCCTGGACTCTTGGTTTTAGGGAAGTTTTTGATGACTGCTTCAATTTCCTTGCTGGTTATTGGTCTGTTCAGGTTTACTGTTTCTTCCTGTATCAGTTTTGGTAGTTTATAAATTTCTAAGAATGCATCCATTTCTTCCAGATTGCCTAACATGTTGGCATCTGGTTGCTCATAATATATTCTTCCAATTGTTTGTATTTTTTCAGTGTTGGTTGTGATTTCTCCTCTTTCATTCATGATATTATTATTCTGTGTCCTTTCTCTTTTCTTTTGGATACATATGGTTAGGGGTTTATCTGTATTATTAATTATTTCAAAGAACCAGCTTCTAGTTTTGTTGATCTGTTCTCCTGTTCTCCTGGTTTCTATTTCATTGATTTCTGCTCTAATCTTTACTATTTCTCTTCTACTCCTTGGTTTAGTCTTTATTTGCTATTCTTTCTCCAGCTCCTTTAGGTGTAAAGTTAGCTTGTGTATTTGATATTTTTCTAATTTTTTGAGAGAGGCTTATATTCAAATATACTTCCCTCTTACAACTGCCTTTGTTGTATCCCAAAGGTTTTTAACAGTTATGCTTTCATTTTCATTAGTTTGTATGAATCTTCTTAATTCTCTTTAATTTTCTGGTTGACCCATTCTTTAGTAGGATGCTTTTTGACCTCCAAGTGTTTAAGTTCCTCCCAAATTTCCTCTTGAGATTGAGTTCAAGTTTCAAAGCATTGTGGTCTGAAAATATGCAGGGAATAATACCAATCTTTTTGTATTGGTTGAGAAGTGATTTGTGATCTATTCTGAAGAAAGTTCCATGTGCACTCGAGAAGAATGTGTGTATTCTGTTGCATTATTAGGACAGAATGTTCTGTATATATCCATGAAGTCCATCTGGTCCAGTGTGTCATTCAAAGGCCTTGTTTCTTTGTTGATCTTCGCTTAGATGACCTGTCCATTGCTGTGAGCGGGGTGTTGAAGTCCCCTACTATTAATGTATTATTATCTATGTGTTTCTTTACTTTGGATTATAAATTGTTTAAGATAATTGGCTGCTCCCAAATTAGAAGCATTAATATTTATGATTATTAGATCTTAGTGGATAGACCCTTTAAGTATGATATAGTGTCCCTCTTCATCTCTTACTACAGCCTTTGGTTTAAAATCTAATTTATCTGATATGAGGATTGCTACCCCAGCTTTCTTTTGAAGTCCATTTGCACAAGAAATTGTTCTCCACCTCCTCAATTTCAGTCTGTAGGTGTCATTAGGTCTAAAATGAGTCTCTTGTGGAGAGCATATGGATGGGTCTTGCTTTTTTTCCAATCTGATAGCCTGTGTCTTTTGATTGGAGCATTTAGCCCATTTACATTCAGAGTCACTACTGAAAGATATGAATTTAGTGCCATTGTATTACCTGTACAGTCCCTGCTTCTGCAAATTGTTTCTTTCTCATTTGTTACTCTTGGGCAACCTCTTTGCTTACAGGATGCCCCTTAATATTTCTTGCAAGGCTGGCTTGGTGGTCACATATTCTTTTAGTTTCTGTTTGTCCCAGAAGCTCTTTATCTCTCCTTCCATTCTGCATGACAGCCTTGCTGAATAAAGTATTCTTGGCTGCATGTTTTTCTCATTTAGTACTCTGAATATATCATGCCAGCTCTTTTTGGCCTGCCAGGTCTTTGTGGAGAGGTCTGCTGTCAATCTAATATTTCTCCCTCTGTATGTTAGGAATCTCTTGTCTCAAGCTGCATTCAGGATTTTCTCTTTATCTCTGAAATTTGCAAGCTTCACTATTATATGTGGGGGTGTTGATCTATTTTTATTGATTTTGGGAGATGTCCTCTCTACCTCTTGGATACAAATTCCTGTTTCTTTCCCCAGATTAAGGAAGTCCTCAGCTATGATTTGTTCAAATATACCTTATGGTTCTCTCTCTCTCTCTCTCTCTCTGCCCCCTCAGGAATTCTAATAATTCTGATTTTTTTTTTAAATGGCATCACATCTCTCACAGCCTTTCTTCATTGGCTATTAGTTGTTTTTCTCTTTTCCTAAGCTTCCTTACTTTCCATCAACTTGTCTTTATGTCACTTATTCTCCCTTCTGCTTCATTTCCCATAGCTGTTAGAGCATCCAGTTATACTGCATCTCTGTAAGGTATTTTTTATTTCAGCCTGATTAGATCTCATTTCTGAACAAAGAGATTCTCTAGAGTCTTTTTTCAAGCCCAGCTAGTAATTTTATCATTGTTACCCTGAATACCATCTCTGCCATCTTGCCACGAACTCCTGCTTTTTTTTTTTTAAAGGAACACAAGAAAGTGAGCCTATCCTATTTCTTACCTGCCACAGCTATTCAAATTCAAAATTATCATAGATAGGATTTCGTATGAGGCCTCAAACCAGTCTTGTTTAAAAGGTCACTCCTTCAGCTTCGTGAAATGTTCTATTGTGATCTTTTTAAAATAATAATAGAAACCTGTTGCTTTCTTGTGTTCTTTCCAGCTAGAAATGCTAAAATAATTTAGAAGTAAAGCAATCTAGAGTTCATTTATTGTTCAGTTTGTCGCATGGACTATGAGATGGCATGTAGCACAACACTGAGAGAAAAGAAATTTATTTTGTTTAGTGTTAAAAAAAAAGACAAATTCACTGCCAGTATCACCAAAAGATAATAGCATTTCCATAATTTAGAGTATGACCAAAGTACATAGACCATAAGAAATAATATCCAAAATTTTGAGAATAGCAGCTTCCAACTGAAGTATTGAATAGATACTTTCAGTTGTAATGATCAGTAAAACGAAAAGATTTGGCTTCTGACATGTGTAGGTGGCTCTGCAGTTGTTTAGAATGCTTTGCTTCTAGTCTGAGCTGTCTAGTTCTTTCTCTGACAGCTTGTTGTTCTGCTAGTTTTTCGATCCGTTTCCTTCGTAGCCATCTGTGGAAAGAGATAGTCAGATCTGGTGAGTATCAACGTGAGTACTCTTCTTACTAAAAAGTTATTGCTATTGACTATTAAAGGAAATTGAATTTCTTTACATTGAAATACTATAGTCACAACAAAAATTACTAAAGTCCTAATGAAAATTTCAGGCTTATCCCGTAGGCTCCCACAAGAAAACACAGTCACATTTGCAATCAAATACTTAAGATTAAGTATGTCTTACAATGAGACTGCTAACTAAAAAAAACTGAGTTTTGAGTAACAATATTTTGGATGCGATATAGGTCCTATTATTTTTTAAATATGATTTTCTAAGCAAACAAATATTTGATAGATTTCAAATAACTTATTTTTTTTGCAACTAACTGCATTCAAGAACATAACTCAATTAGGTTAAGAATCCCAGCATGCAGAAATGTTGCCTTGCTCTTCTTGGTAAAGACACTAATGAGCTCTTGACTTCTTAGTGCATTAAAATAGTCCTTCTTTAAAATGGAAGAATAAGCCTAAGCATAAAAACATCCAAAAAAGGTAAAGGAAGAGTCCACATTCAAACAAATCTAAATCTATAAACCTTGCTTGCTTAGGTAAAGTAACTTAAAAAAAAAAAACAATTGTACACACATATGACGGTGTACGTGGTTCACGTGTGCATATACATTTGTTTTCATAAATAACTCTATACAACTAAATACTGTGTCAGAATAGAAGAGATTTAAGCATCATAAGCCAATGTTGTGTGGTCCCAAATTGGACACTAGTTTGAGCAAATTAACTGTAGTCATTTAGGGGTCCATTGGGAAAAATAGAATTATGGGCTGGATATTAGATGAGATCAATAATAAAAATAAGCAGATTACAGAACAGTATACACATATAATCTCAAATTTGTATTTTAAAATTCTAAATATAGGGATCCCTGGGTGGCGCAGCGGTTTGGCGCCTGCCTTTGGCCCAGGGCACGATCCTGGAAACCCGGGATCGAATCCCACGTCGGGCTCCCGGTGCATGGAGCCTGCTTCTCCCTCTGCCTGTGTCTCTGCCTCTCTCTCTCTCTCTTTCTGTGACTATCATAAATAAATAAAAGTTAAAAAAAATTTAAAAAAAATAAATAAAATTCTAAATATAATGTATACAGAAATATTTAAAAGATATGCAGTAAGGTACTGATTTCTAGATGATGAAAATGTGACTTTTCTCCCTCCATTTCTACAATGTTCATTTACTGCTTCTGTTATAATAAAGAATTATACATATATGTGTTTTAAAAAAAAGGAAGAAAGCAAAGAAACAAAAGATTGGAAGGAAGGAATGAAGAAAGGAAGGAAGGGAGGGAAGGAAGGAAGTAACTTCAAGCAACTGGATTCAATATTCACTCCCTCTCCCAAGGCCTGCTGACAAAATTATGAAACCAGGTCTGTTTCCTCAAAATTAGCAATGTGATATAAAGTCTTAATCAGATAACTGAAAAGTTCAGATTTGCCTTAAATTACCATAGTGTGTGCCCAAATCCCCTTTTCAGTTTGGCCTATACAGAACTTCCTTCTCAGCCTGACTGTATTTCTATACAGAAAAATATTTTTTGGAAAATGCAACTAACTATTCAGTTGTTCTAAGGATTGTGTTGGAGTAGCTATACACCATCTTTCCCATTTCCCTTGAGAAATGAACAAAATTACTAACTAAGGAATGGTAGGCTATCAAAGGTTATCAGACTGGTTAAATATAAAATAATTTTGGTATTGAAAATATCTTGAAGAAAGAAAGAATGATATATAGATATTATGTAAAATATGGAGTTAAAGAATTTTCTCACAGTTTTAAAAGTGTGGATCTAAAATTGAATAGATATGTAATATAAGAGATAAAGTATTTTGTGGGTTTTATTTTTTTAATATTTATTTATTTATTTATTTATTTATTTATTTATTTATTTATTTATTTTAAATTGTGGGTTTTATTTTAAACTTTATGGACTATACAGCTCTCTGAAATGACTGTGAAGAGAGGGAACCATGCCCGGCCTGTGACTTACTGTTTGAAGGCCCGCTCACGGCCCTCTGTTCCTTTAAGGAAGAATAAGCATTCCTCTTGCTTTCGTAGTTCTTCTGTCTTTCTTTCTTTCAACTGCTCTTCATGCTTTTTTTTAAGCCATAATCGAAAAGCTTGTTGTGGATCTCTGTTTTCCTGCTGATGACAAAAACAATATTTGTTTAAATAAACCAAAACTACTTTTTGAGCCCTGCCTATAAGACCCTACTAGAATACATGTTCTATTCATCAATTTTTCATAATAATGCCAACCTCACTACCTGCACTCCTAGTATCCAAACAAAATATATTCAAGTATATTCAGCTTTGAATCTGCAACACTGACCTCTGTCAGAAAATTCAACACTGAATTCCCTGCCATCTGGCATCCTTCAAAAGTCAATTTATTGAGGTAATCAATAAGTGAAGAAGGTTAAATGCAGTGATTTGCAAACATGACTGATGCAAAATGATGCAAGCATTGACAAATAATTTTTCACAATGGCATAAAAAAATAAAACAGGGTTGAAGAAAGAGTGGGATAGACCATATGAACAGAGTTGAGGTCTTTGTAGCAATTCCTGAAGGCACTCCCTGGAATGCAGTTTGAAAACTAAATCCAAAACTTCTGTTATTCATCCTTTCTTTTAAATTCTACCTCTGTTTTTACTTTTTTTTTTCCTGTTTTTACTTTTAAGAGCATCTAACTGAAAAGTCCATTTCCAAATTGTAATTACTCTTATGGAAGATGGCCATAAGGATTTGCAGCCATAAAAATTTTCTTATAAGGATATTAGCCATAATGATTTTGTCATAAGTAAAAGCTAGTGGAAGTAGCTTATTTTATGGTTCCTTAAACTTCATGGTGGATATCATCTTCTGGGAATTTTTAAAAGCTGAAAGAGCTCTCATTGGGCAGAATAAAGAAAGCAATGGGACAGATTTGGGGCATGTCTCATTATTTGGATGCCTGGCTAAAACACAAAGGGAAGAATGCATTCATTTCATACTTTCCCCAAATATGAGCTCGATGAGAGGTCCACTTCCTATACCTTGCATTTTCCTTTATCTATCACTCACATTGCCAAGTATGTTCCACTTTAATTTATATAATTTATGTAACCTAGCATCATTGATGTACAATGTTAAAGTTTGTGAAGATTTTCCATGGATGACTTAAAGGATCATTGCTGAACGCTCAGCAGTCTGGGAATGCCTAGAGATGATCAGAAAGTGTTCATTCTGGAATTATAGATCAAAACAGTCAAGGATTCAGAGGTGAACAGGATTGATTGGTAGCACTGTTCATTTATTCATTCAGCAGATATTTATAGAGTATCTACAGGCACAAAAGTACCGGGTTGCATCAATGAAAAAAAAAAAGAGATCCCTTTCTCATATATTCTATGATTGCACTGTATAACACAGTGTCCACTAGTCAACAGGTAGCTATACTTAAATAAAGTTTAAAATTCAGTACCTCAGTCACATTAGCTACTTTTCAAGTGCTTAATAGCCGCATTGTGGCAGTGACTACTTCATTGGAGAGTGCAGATATAAAGCATTTCCTTCATCACAGAAAGTTGTATTGAGCAGTGTTATTCTGAGGAGAAAGGTGGTATGTAGACAGAAAGTGAATGAGTAAGTTATGGGATGTCAGGAGATAGAGTATTTCAAGCAGTGGTCACAGTAATACATAAAGAAGGAGTTCTTAACTGGCTATCATCCTAGCATTCAGCACAGAAAGAATAGGCAAAAAAAGCCCATCTCCCATTCCTTCCCTGCATACTTGAAAAACTGCTGCTTGAGGGTCAGACTTCTAATTTAGAATGCATCTAAAGGCTAGCTTTCACCATCCCCAAGGACCACAAAAGCTGTTGACACCTCTGCTGTTGTCTCCTTATAGCCTGCTCCAAGTAGCCAATATCCCCCATGAAAGAGATCTACAAATGTTGGTTGCACCCAAATTTTTATGGCTGAAACCCAAAGAACAGGTTCCTAGGTCACCTGCAACTAATAGCCACTGAAACTTCCATTCATGAGTCCCACAAGATGGTAGCAATAAATAAGGAGATCTTAATGGTCACAGGAACATCCCCCCTGCAGATATACACCTGGGCCCAGTGCCAACGGAACAGGAAAAAACACCCATCTCCCAGTTTCTCCATAGAAGGGGCTTGACCACATACCTTCCCAGCTATACCAGAGAGCCTGGCTTCCACTTAGCTTGCACCTAGGTGTTGAATATGATGTATCTTGGTATACCCTCAAAAACTGGGAGCCAGTAAAAACAAACAAGGCAGTTTGTGCCATTACAAAGGTTTCAAAGGTTTGAGTAACAATTAGGACATCAGAAGGAGGTGACTGATGAGAGTGATCTCCTATATGAGACTACTCTGTGAAGACTGATCAGAAACAATGGGTGTCAGAAAATCACTGAACACCATCTTTAAACTGATGAAAGAAAAAAAAAAGCCTGTCAGCCTCAAATTTCATATCCAATAAAAAATAAATCCTTCGAAAATATATTTCTGATATATTCAGGAGATAAATATTGCAATCCCTAAAGCAATGATGGTAAAAATAATTCAAAGAAGTATAGCTAAAAAAAAATAAAAATAAAAAGGAAAAATTTTTAAACACTTGGTTAAACCATAAGAAGGCAGAAAAAGTTGACTAATGGAACTAAAAATAAATGGAATGAATCAAAACAAATATCAAGACAATAAACTTAAAACCTATGATATCAACAATTACAATTAAATACAAATAAACTCCAATGGAAAGGAGATTTCTGGATTGGGAAGATCCAAATATATGCTGTTTGCACAAGTAACTCTTTAAAGATACATAAATTGAAAGCATAAAACATGATATAACAATGCAAATGTTACATGTAAGAAAGCTGGTATGGATTCATTAATATCAAACAAAGTAGACTTCAAAGGGCATATTTCATGATGTGAAAATGTCATTCATCAAAAGACATAGAACCATAAATGAATATGCATAATATTTTAAAACAGATGAAGCAAAACCCAAAAGAACTAAAAAGAAAATAAACTCATACACAGTGATAGTTGGAAGGTTTAACTCCAATTTCCCAGTTATTCCCACTATAGAGGTAAGGATACAGAAGATTTAAACCCCACACTATCAAGCAACTTATAACACTGACATTAATATAACACTAAATCCAAAATGCAGAATACATAATGTATATAAGCATCCACGTAGAGTTCACCTAGTGGACCACATGCATACACGTTGCATATGTATATCTATATATTTAACAAACACATATCATTATATACATCATTGACCAAGAGAAACAAAGTTCATCACAAAAATGGAAAGATATTTAATTATTTCCTAATTTTACAAATACTTGATAAAAATATTACATTAGGCTGAATGCCATGAAGCCTGAGGGCCCACCAGCTCTCTGGAAACTATTAGCAGTGCACTCACAGCTTTTTCTTGGTCACTGAAACAGGATCCTCTCGTCTCCAATACTTTTCAGTATATTATAGCAATGTGCTGTGCCTCTTCCCTCTCACGCCTAAATTCTCTCCTCCCTCAAAAACTTTTCTAATTTATTCCCTAATAATTCCTATTCAATGATATAAAACCTCCCAAATATCCCCATTTTCCCAGGCTACCTGGCCTTAAACCTCTTATTTTACCCAAATCCTCATTCTCCCCCCAAGACATTTTTCCTCTCCACAACAGACTCTGCCTTTCCTGCCACATTTCAAGTACCTCACAAGTCAGGTGAAGAAGTTACTTTCCCTCCTTCATACTCTTCAGAGCTGTCTTCCTCTACTCTTCTAAGCAAAGCGACACTCAGTTACACTATTTGGCACCATTAGTTTAACAATCTTTGGTCTCACCAGCTGGACCAGAGAGAGTCTGGAAAGATGGAGAGTCTTCCTCTCCATCCTCATCCTGAGAAATAGAACTATATGAATCAGCCATTCAATATCTAGCCTCCCAGAGTTTTTATTTTCTCATCTTAGGGCTTTCTCCATCACACTTGCCACCCAGTCCTTAGCGCCACATCCACATCCCCACAAACTTTGTCTTTGAAGTCACTAATCTTCTAATTCTCAACACTAACCATCAAACACATTTCTCCAGTCTTCACCTGGGTGTTTCATTGGTACCTCACACTCAACAAGTGAGAAACTGAAATAAGAATTTCCCCTGCTCAGTGTATTCTCTGCTGCTCCAGTGAATAGCACCACCACCCACCAAGTTGCTCAGAAAAGAAACCTGGCATATTCTCTTTACATCTCATTCTCTCTCACACACACATCTAATTAATTACAAAAGTCTTTCAATTGATACTTCAAAACATGTCTTAAATTACTCACATCCCCCTCCCTCCATCTCCCCCTCTCTCTCCCACTCCTATTATAATTCTAGCCAAGTCACTATCATTTCTCACCTCATAAACATTTCTCATTGAGCACTCACCTCATTGAGCACCCACCTCCACTCTTGCCCTTTCATAGTAATGTGTATCTAATGTATCACTCCTCTGTTTGGACATTTTCAGTGGCTTCCCATAACAGAACTAAATACAAAATTATAGACTCCAACATGCCACAGGATGGGATTTCTGCTCTCTCTCCAGATCCTCTCACACTTACCAAGTTATTTCCTGTCTCAAGGTGTTCTCACATGTTCTCCTGGCCTGAAACAAATTCCTCTCAGTCTTCGCCCAATTTTTACTCCTACTATCACCGACTGAGAAAAAATCTTTCCTGAAATACTCATACACATTTATTTCCCAAATTATGATCTCTCATAGTTCTTTCATTTTCATTGCATCCATCACTATTTATAATTACAAACTTATTTTATATATATAGTTTTTCAATCCCTACTAGCTGAACTCTATAAAACAAAGACTAAACCTAGTTTGCTCAAGACTACGTTCTCATGATTGAACAGCATCTGTCATATAGGAAGCTATTAAAAAAATGTTTACTGAATATATAAAAATTTTTCATTGGCATTTCTTTAATTCTAACAAATTTGTTATTTTTTCATACACTATAGTCAGAAGTTTTGCTTTAATAATATAAATATTAACAATAACAATTATGACACCAACTTAAAAAATCCTAACCATCAATTACATTAAATATAAACTTGGGCGAACTAAAATCTTTATAGCATTTAGTCAGTCCATGCAGGAGTATCATGTTACTATTTGCCAAAGAACTCATATATTTATAATATTTGTCCCACCCATCCAGGAATATTGTTTTTTTTTTTCATTTACCAAAGTCATCTTTTTTGTCCCTTGCAAAGCTGTACTGTATTCCCCACAGAGATCAGACACATTCCTGTTTGGCTCAAAGTATTTTATATATTCCTATATTCCTTCTCCTTTTTAATTTTTCTACGAAGTTTTTGCTATAGGAGGACTATATACTTCTTATATTTATCATGTAAATATCCATTCTGTTAATACTTATACCTCATTTCCTTTTCTGCTTAATAAATTGACTAGAACTTCCAGAATTAAGTTATTTAATAGAAAGGGGAGACTTACTAGTTTCTAACTTTAATGGGTATACCTATAGAATTTCTTAAGATAGTATTTATACTGTTTTGATATTTTATTCAGACTTTTAAAAATAAATTATATTAATATTAAAAAATTCGTTCTCTATCTTTCAAGATAACCATATATTCTCTTTTTATCTACCTCTTGATGTGATGAATTATATTAATAGGTTTGTTATTATTTATCTAATTTCCTTCCTAAAATAAACCCTTCTTGGTTATAGTACACTGTTATTTGACTACACAGTTGCATTCAAATTTCTCAATATTTTCTCTTAGTTTGTGGCTTTTATGTCTTGCCTAAAAAAGTATCACCCATCTCAAGATTTTAAAAGCTAACTATAAATGGCGTAGTAAACAACATAAAAAATATATCATATTGTCAGTCTAGGAAAATGTATTTATGACAGATAAAATAACAAAGAATTATAATCGTCAGTATACAGTGCAAGACGAAAAATAAAACTGAAAAAAAAGACTACAAACAGGAAATTCACAGAATATACATGTGGTCATATATATGTACTCATGTACATAACTAAGCTGAAGAAAAATTAAGAAAATAAACCACATACAGTTTTAGTCAGGATGTGGTAAATATTCACTCTTATATACTGTTGGAGGGACTATAACTGACACACCTTTTGGAATGTTAGTTTTTGCACATTTAACCAAAAATTTCACTCTGGACATTTAGTAAGTCATAAATTCCACTCTTAAGAAACTCCCTACAGAATGAACATGTTCACTACCGCACTGTTAATGAACAGAATATTGGAACTGAACTAAATATCTACATTTGAGGACTTAATAAATTATCTCTGCTATCTTTGTCCTGTTTGAATATCAAAGTTATACTGTCCTGAAAAAGCATATTGATAGTTTTCTATTTTCTGTGCTATAAAAGTGTGAGTAATATAGTAATCATTTGATTTTTCACAAGGCTTCTTAGAATTTAATTGTAAAGTCATCTCTGTGTTGCATCTTTTGCAAGGGTTATTCTTGGACCACTTTTCCTAATTTTTCTCTAGGTTCTTATTCTGATATTCACATCCCCTTCTGGAAATAAATTCAGCTTTCATATCTGTCTACTTATTTTTCATTGAGAAGTTTCACTTACTCTACTATTCATATCTTCAATTTGCTTTGCTCGCTGAATTCTCCTCATTTCTAGGACCTGCTCTCTTTTCTTTTGCAACCATGCTTTAAATACCATGTCATTCTCTTTTTTCTTTTCTTTCTCTTCTTCTATTTTTCGTTGTTCTTCCTGGTGGAAAGAATAGCAAAAGACATTCATGAAAGGTTAATAAAACTGTATATGAGTCATCAGAGAAAAATATATCTTGAGGTCTGAAATTAGCATTCTCTGCTTCTAAAACTTTCCACCTGAAAATTGGGCTTCTGTAAAAAAAGCTAGGGACTCTAGTTTACTTAGGAATAAAATGAAAATGTATCAGATAAATTAAACTGTAGATAAATTCTACAATTATATATATGTATAATACATGCACGCTGTTCAGAGATTCCTTGAATTTTACCTTCACTTCCTAATTTACTTTTGGAATTAAACCCCTTAAATTGCAGCTATGCAAAAAAAAAAAAAAAAAAAAGCCACCACATTGTAGAAGCACTATATGCTTCCATAAATGTCTGAAACATTTTTATCTTGTTGTTAAATTTGTTAATTGTGATAAATTACATAGTGGCTATGAAAGAAAATACTATAATCATTTAGAAATATATATTAAAATGTACAAGTGAGCAAATAATGTGCTGCCTAGGACTTGCTTTAAAAATATATCAGCTAAGAAACAGGAAATGCAGAAAATATGCCAAAATCTCAACGACTTTCAAATCTGAGTGACGGGGCCATAGGGATTAACTGTACCTTTATATGTGTTTGAATTTTTTATTTTAATGTTTAAAAATATTTTTCAACTAGTGTATATTCACAAAATAACATTTTTTGCTATCAGAAAAATATTTAGTTAACCATAAGAACAAAATGAATTTTTTACATGAATTACCCAACTAACGTAGTAAAAGGCAGTTTCTTGAAGAGAGGTAATTAAACCAGTTTTATAGAGCTATAAAATATTTAGTAGGAGCAAAGCAGCATATCATAATGGAAATAATACTAAGCTAAAAGTTAGGAGATCTGAGGAACAATCCTACTGCCATCCTACTACATCAATTTGGGCAAACCACTTAACTCAATATTCTCAGCTACAAAATGGAATAATGCTCTTATTTCAGTTCTGCCTCTTTTCTCAGTTGACAATATCTTGCATAAATACAGATAGTCATACTAATGAGTTCTCAAGTCTCTTCCAAAATTAAAATTTTATCACTTAAATGAACTGAATTATACAATCAAAGCTTTAACTTTCTTCCAATGATGGAATTCAGAGTTCTTTCCTTATATTTTGACAACATAGCAAGTCTTTCTAATTCCTTATAATTGAACAAAATATAACAAGGAATGGAAAAATTCTATCCAGTTAACAGCACAGAATATCTTTTAAAATACCAGTACACTGGAAAAGTATATTAATTTTGTGACAGAATCCTGGTTATAATCTCCTTTTAAAAACATATACACATATGTGAATAAAAAAGATTTCTATTAAAAATATCTACATACTATTTTCTAAGCCCTAAGAATGCTTACATAAAATGTGAATTTATTAAAGGTTAAATTTTACATTTATTTGTAAATATCTTTTTACAAAAAGGATACTGTAAAAGGTGAAATAAAATGGAATCACTTATGTCAAAGTATTTTAAAATGGAGCCGGTGGCCTTTAGGATGTGGGCCTCATGCAAGTCCTCACTCGGTGTAATTGCGAACCTTTGAACTGGGTCAAACTACCAACATAGCAAGAATTCTACTAGTACCTTCAATCTGCTACAGTAACATGTTTCTTAGTGACAGCCTTAGCAACCAATTATGTGCAGTCAAGATTAGTTTTCTGCTGTCAACACCAAACAAAATTCATTGTAAATAACGTATACAAGTACTACTCTTTTTTGCCTTTCAATACTCCACACTTGTGACACACTGGACACAATTTGAATTGCTGTACTCCCCAAAAAGCACCAAATCCATCCTCCCCAAAGGGCATTTCTGAGAACTCAAATAAATGCTCTTCTTTTATTTCAGTTCTGCCTCTTTTCTCAGGTGACAATACCTTGCATAAATACAGACAGTATGATATGATGATTATCTTTTGGAGGAACATTAGGCATATTAGACAGAAGACATCAGCCAAAGTACAGATAATGCAGGTGCCAAAGGGAACAATGATATGATACACTTAAAATAGATAAAGTATAGCAGTCCAACCCTGCAAATATTTTGTTGGACGTAAATAAGGAAAGCCTTCCCCTGAAACCAACTAAAAAAATATTTAAAAGCCTTAGCATTTACAGTCTTGAGGAAGTATATAAATAATAAGAACCATGCCTTGAACAAGTACATAAACAAAGAGAAATTTAGTTTTGAGGATCCTGATAGCAGAAAAGTGCATCCCAGGAGCAAGAGTGACACTCCAGGAAAGAGGATCAAAATACAAACAAAACTATTTACAAGTCACACCAGTTAAAGATTACTTAGTTCATTAGTTGAAAGACACTGAAATGATATAAAACCTCTTATATAATATTCATAAAATATACAGATACACTTTTACATGTATGTAGGTATACAGTAAACGTATAGTTCCGTCATTCTCAAAGATTATTTTGAATTGTCTGCATTAGCAGATCCTTTTAAGTATTGCTATATACCTAAACCAAGTAAACTTAATCTGCCCATTACAGTTCAGATAGTAATGACCAAGTAAGTAAACTTTATTTAGTATGCATTTTTTCAGATTCCTGCCTGAGTGTTCTATAGGTTATAGACTACTACTAACTTTGTCTTTCACTTTTTTCTAATAATATGGGTTCCTTACTTAAATGTCAGAAATTTCCCTGATAATTCCTACTTAATCCCTACGCCATTTCTCAATAGATGCCAAGAAAATAGATTTTGACCCCAGCATTGCTATAAACAGGTTGAGTGATTTTGTTGTAAAGTTAATTAAACTCCTAGACTCTAGTTGTCTTATCTGTAAAAGGATCATTAAGGATCCTTCTAATTGTAAAATTCTTAGTGACTTGTGATTCTGCTAAGGTTGGGTTTTAGTCAGACATTTTGTGGTTCAGCTTAATACCATTAAGTATACAGTAAAACAGAATTGGGGCATTGATTTAAGTAATTTAGAGAGAATTCACTAGTATATTTAGTACCTTAAATTTTCATTAATAAAATAGAGGGTTTTTAAAGATTTTATTTATTTATTAATGAGAGACACACACAGAGAGGCAGAGACACAGGCAGAGGGAGAAGTAGGCTCCTCGGGGAGCCTGATGTGGGACTCGAGCCCAGGACACCAGGATCATGATTCTAGCCAAAGGCAGGTGCTCAACCAGTGCACCACCCAGGTGCCTCTATAGAGTATTATTTAAGAGCTATGAAGAAAGATTCAAAATGAATTAACCATTGCCAAGAGAGTTACCCAAAATAGAATTGAAAGGACATTCAGGAAATAGGACCAATGCAGGTCTCCTCCTCTTCAATTCTCAATACAACAGAAATTTTTGATTCTTGTCAAGTGCATCCCAAACTCCCTCTTTCTACTTTGGACTGAAATAGAATGTAACTAACCTATTTGCTAAATAGCCAATTGTGCATTAGATAGTTTAAACTACCTTTCAAAACAAGTTCTTGTGGTTTTTGTCTTTATAAGCCTGCAATCCCTGCTCAGGAGTCAAAGCATTTTTCATTTTGGTTGACTCTGTTTCCTGGGTTGTAATCCTTAAGACTTCAAATAAATGCTCTGTTTGCATTAGAGCCTCTTCATCTTGATCAACATTACTTGGCATCAACATTAGTTGGTAAGTCCCAAAGTGCCTGAACTCTGTCTCTAGAACTGCCATGGATTTGAGTACTGTAACAAGAGTCCATTGCAGTCTGACATATCGTTGGTGGCTTCAAGTCACAGTGATATACCCTCTCCATCCTGAACCTCCACCTTGATCAATGTTCAGGCCTTTATTTGGGTATCCTCTGTTGCTGGCTTCTGTCCTCACTCATTTTTGAGGGGAGGAGTCCGCCTTCATTCATTTTGAATGGAATATTTGGGTTTCAGGTTCTTGGTAAGTACTCAGTTATGGGAAATAATTCCTCTAAGGAGCTTCTAACAATCATCCCCCTACTGGAACTCCTGTAGTATTTATATTAAGGAATAGGGCCCTTCTTGCTGTGAATTTTTGCCCCATTGGATCAAATTACACAAGATGACTTAAAACATCATTGACCAAAATGGGCACTTCTGATACCCTAAAATTATTTCTTGCATGCACAACTGGAAAAGGGTTACAAAGACAATCAAATGAGATGTCTATTTCAGTTAGTACCTGAGAACTTTCAAACATATTCAGGATTCTAAAAATCTCCCCATTACAAAATAGCATTTCTAAATAAACTGAAGCAAACAAAAGATTTTTAAAAGACCCATCCTCCCTGTCTGAGGCACCATCTTGTTCCCTTCCTCCTCCTCTGTCTCTGGGCATGCAATAGCCATCCTGTACCAATGTCTTGCCTCTCCCTCTGCACTGCCTCAGTACCCTCCTCCACTTCCTCATCCCAATCTTCCCACCAGAATTCTGGAGACAGAAAAGGATCTTCACAGCACACAAATAAAAAGCCTTAGTATAAGACTTTAGTCATCTTAGCAGTTAACCTAAACTTAGTCCATCTACTGGAACACAATTTAGATCCAGCTATTTTTTAGAGTTTTGTACCTGAACCGTAGCATGAATTTTAAAATGACACTATAGGGGCACCTGGGTGGCTCAGTGGTTGAGCATCTGCCTTTGGCTCAGGTCATGATCCCAGAGTCCTGGGATCAAGCCCCGCATCGGGCTCCCTGTGGGGAGCCTGCTTCTCCCTCTGCCTGTGTGTCTCTGCCTCTCTGTCTCTCTCATGAATAAATAAAATCTTTAGGAAAAAATAAAAAAATAAAATGACACTATAAAGTTTCTGTCTATATCTATCTATATGTTACATGTGTCTACATATGTATATTATAGTGATGTGACATTTTCTATCTCTGATGGCATTCCCAAAGTTAATTTAGAAAAGAGCTCAATTTAATTGGCTCAAAGACAATTAAGTGCTTAGATAAATGAAGTATTCCAAAAATTCCCAGAAATAGGGGA